AAAAATTTATAGAACTTGGAGGATCGTGAGTTTGATTCTCACCTGGAGCTCATAAAAGTTTTGTGAGGTTTCTGGTGTTTGAATTCTCCTTCTTCTTTAATATGGTGATTCCTATGGCTTGTTATATTTCAGGCATGCGATAATGAGGGAGAGTGTAAGTCAGATGTGGTCATAATTGGTGGACTTGTAGAATCATTTTTGATGGTTGACAATGAAGTGAAAAACCATGGAGTTGTGGGACTAGCAATATCTGGAAATGTTGAAGCCATCTCCATGGTCCATCACGGTGAAACAGCTGGTGGGATGCGCCAAAGTCTGAGGAATCTGAAGACGTCTGGTATTCCTTGTGAAAAAGATTCAAATACAGCTTGCTTTATGGTGTCTTGTATTGGTCGTGGTGAAAAGTTTTACAATGCCAAGAACGTGGAAACTGGGATTTTTCAACAGGAATTTCCTGGAATTCCTGTGCTAGGCTTCTTTGGCAATGGAGAACTAGGCCTGGACTTGCATTCATGCGAGGGAAAGCTAGAAAGGGATGGTCATTATTTGCATTCTTACTCATCAGTGTTTTGCTTGTGCTCCTTGTTGTCACAGTCACCATCCAGTGGCAGCAAACTTGAATTAAAGGACCGTGCATCTGATTCAAAAGAGAAATCAAGTGCAAGTGAATCTGCAAGAGCTGGCAAGTGAAAGCTGTATAATATTTTTGGATGATTATCTGTGTTGTGGATGAGTGTTATTCTTCACTCACTTACATAGTGTTGGCTTTGTTGGATGGGAAACATTCTTTGTTGAATTAACTGCTAATCAGTGCTGTCTGAAATTAATGATAGGCAGTCGATCAGGCTAAAACATCCTACATATATGAAGAAAACTATTTTAAACTGAAAATCTTACAAGTAGTGACTATCAGCAATTGTCTAAAAGCAGCTTAGTTTTCTTACGGGTTGTTTTGGCTTGGTTGGTGGCGTTTTTAAGGCTTCATAGAACAGTCAAACCAACTCCATAACAACACCCCCTCCCCTCAGGAGGTTTGACTGTATTGCTAAAAAGAGCTCAAATAATTCCAGCGGGCATTTTAGTTGTAGGTGTTTTTAGCCAAAGTAAAGTAATTTTAATACAGGTGCAAGCAGGGTGCAAAGAAAGTAATTTTTACAGCTTGCCATTCGAGCAAGCTGCTGCTAGAATTTACTAGCCCAGAGGTCATTTCAACTGGCCCCGAAATTTTTTTGATGAGCAGAATTGATTTCACAGTTCTTTTGTAAGATGAATTCCTCAAAATACTTCACTTACCCATCGGGCAAGTTAAGAACAGATTTCACTCGCCCAATGGCAAAATCCACCATCTCTGGGCTATCGGACACCACTTTCTTTGCACACTATGCAAGGTTACCTTAGAATTTTATTTAATTACTGTACTGCTTTGATGAAAGTATTCTGGCCTTAAAAACGTAATACAGTGCTTATAGATTAATCCTGTTTTGTGGGGAAATCAATATATGGAAGCAATTGGTCTGTTTCACTGTCATTACTGTAACTGTAATGTAACTTTTGTTTGTTTGTTTGACTTTTTTTCTGTGATAGTGATGGTCTTTTAAATGTAAGAAATTTTAAAAATTGTTGATGAAATTACCAGTAAGCTATATTTTTTAATTTAAAGATACAAAAACAGGAAATGTGTGACCTGTCATCAGGTTGCCCTTCTCTCCTAAATTTGTTTTGGAGGTTTCCCTTTCCCCATCTGCTGACTTTTGCGCTTTCTCCATAAAAGAACACCTGAATTGCCGGTTACGAACTCTGGAAACTGGCATGCATGTATAAAAACTCCAAAAAAAAAAAAATAGGTACCTCTCACTGTGAATTTGTCTAGCCTTTGATACGAGCCACGACACAGAAAAGCTGAAACTGGGACTTTAACACCAGTATTTAAATGTAAGCACAGACTGGCTTTAGTGAGGGATTGTAACTCAAGCTGTAATTTTGGTTTTGTTATTATAACTAAAAATAAAATAGAATAGACTTTAAAAGTCAATATTTGCTCGTGTATGACATGGAACCCTGATATCATTTTCGTAAGAGACTTCCTCAAACCAGTTCGCCAGCAGATGGAGTCATGACAAAGTAAGGTACGTTCCCTGGGCTGGGATTTCGTGAAAACAATGGTTTGTTGAGGGTGCTCAGTCTCATAGCTTCAATCATAAAACCTATTGAAGGTCGATGTTATTTTGCCTTTTGCCCCTCAAATGGGTGTCTGCCGCTCCAAAAACTGTCCGCAGCATGTGCAAGGGTTTCAGATTTGGTTCTCTAAAGGCCATCAACAATTCAGGAAGTGGAAACCAGGAGAAACATATATCAGCATAGTAAACGAGCAGTAAAATGAAGTTTGGGTATAAGATACTTATGACCATAAAGTCTGGAGTACTTTGACTATCTTTGTAACTATTGTCCTTTTGGGAATATAAAAAAAATGGCTGCTGCTCGACTCACTTTTCAGTGTCTTGATATCGTAAAAAAACGCGAAGTCTCGTGTTTGATATATAACATCTTGGGATACTTATGTTATCGCGTTTTGCTCGACGGACTACAAACAACCTACAACATTCAGGTGGCAAAACGCCATGACAATATCTTGGCCGTTCGTAGTTTTTTGTAAAGTATTTTCGTCAACAGTTTGTCTTTAGGGGCCTTCAACAATGACCCGCTGATACATATCCCATATACTCTGGTGAGCCCTCTGTGACAAAAAATCCATGAGGCCTGACGGACTAGAAAAAAGAGTTCGTCCAGTTAGACCTTGAGAAATATCCCCTCGTGGCCTGAGTGTCCAGAGGCCGGCGTGGCCTGTTTCTGACCTCGCTAGTCAAGGATGTGGACTCAAAGGTGCAGGTCTTTCCCTCACCCAAATTTTTAACCACGTCCTTTGGGCTTTTCCGAAGGGACGACGAGTGAGGTTGCCAAATTTCCAGCTCTCTTTCACGTTATCCACAACCGGGAGGGCCGCATGTTAAGAGGCCATCAAGATGAGACTCTGTCTCAGCCGATTCATAAAACTAATTCAGAAAAAACTCGCAAGCGCGGATCTAGGATAAAAATTGACCGATTTCCTAAATAAGCGCCGAAGGCCCAGTTGCAGGGGGTCCGGGGGCATGTTCCCCGGGGAACATTTTTCGATTTTGACGGCTTCCTAAAGTCCTCTTTCCTGGGTTTCTGAGCCAAACGACAGGATATTGGCCAGTCCAGTTTCCTCAGATGAAGCCTTGCAAATCGTCGGATTATTTCATCTCTCAGTTTTGACTTGGAACGTTTTTTATTAAAACTATATTTATCATGAACTGAATCTGACCAATTTCGGTAAGACGGTGGAAACCGGTGTAGATACGCGCCTAAGACTTGGAAGGAGTTTGAAGTATTTTGACAGTTGTTCACGTTTTGTTTAGATATAAAACAACAATAATAACAGCAACAAAAGAAACAAATGTAAAACACGCGCAGACAATTATAGATCCTCTGACTTGTTTCCGAATGTTCCAAATTAAGGTTAAAATTATTACGTCAGATTTCTGATCTTGTTATTTACATTAACTACATGACTACGCTTCATGAAAGCTAAAAAAGCACCGTTCTCTCCAACGAGCTATATTGTTTAAGAGTCAACCACATGAGGGCCAATCTGAAAGGCATTTACTGTAATGTATAAGTGATAGCCTGCGTAGCAAGCGCTTGGAAGTAGTGGGCGCAAAAGAACGGGCACGCGAGAGGGAGACACATAAGTGACGGTAATTTGATTTCTTACTTTCTTTTTATTCGACTCAGCTTTGTCGAAATCCAGTATACTCTACACTTAAATTAATAAATAACAAAATCTTTAAGGGTTTAAATCTGGGAGCTTGAAGGTGTTTTTGAGCTGCGCACGTCACCCGGAAGTGGATTTTATGCAATACAAATTTGGTAGCGTTAAGGCGCTATAAGGGAAAAGGCGTCACTTCCGGTTGACGAACGTTGCTCTCTTCTCGCAAAATAGCCTTCACCCATAAGCTCCCTAACTGGCGACTGCACCTTGAAACAAAACTGAGGATGTGCTGGATCTTATAATCAGCATGTCACGAGCGTGGGACGAACAAGAAGTCCTGAATCCCCGACATGCCGATAATCTCATCTTTCGCATTCATTTTAACCATCTCTATTCATTTATCAGCAAAACTGAAAATGATGGTAATAAAGCTGATGATGATGATGATGATGATGATGATGATGAGGTAGTTTGTCTAAGAGTTAAAACAAAGATTACAGTGCACTGTAATATGATAAAAATAAAGAGCGATAAAAAGGCTATAACTTAATAATATATACCTCATATGCTATTAAAGCCATTTAAGTACATGAAGGATTTGCAGAATCACATGCCAATCCGGTAACTCACTCGTCGATGTTTTTCATAAGCAACTTGTAGTACTCCTATATACTTATGTGGTCATTCAATTTATATACGCTTTATTTTTTAATATATACGCTTTTTTTCTTTATTAAGAAATCTTTTCACACTGTTATTGGTCTGACAATAAAATTTAATTTCGTTCAGTCTTTAACACAAGTGAACTGAAAATGCGGAAAGCACTGCCACATTCGCGGACATCTAGCAATACAAATGGAACTTCAGCTTTTCATCCTCATATATCCTCCGATATTCTCGATGACGCCTCAGTCTTCGAAAAATAATAAACGTCATAACTTAATCTTTGCTGCTGTTTAATATGCAGGATCTAACTTGCCCCCATGCCGATTATTCGACTTTGATCGTTTCTGTACAAAGGTCCAATCAGATACTGTGTTACTGAATATCCAAACAAGAGCTTTCAATGGGCCAAGAAGCAATTACATAACATTTGGGTCCACATACAAGAGGCACCATGCAGCACACGTGCTTTTTTCATTTTCCATTCAAAGTGATGCCCATTATTTTTAGACCACCATTACATCTTAAAGTAAACGAACAAACCTTCGTTTAAGCGGAAATATAAAGCGTTTCTGAATTTCTATTCCCTAGAATGGTCTCTGACCAAAATGCCATACTAGTCACGTGACACCGGCATTTTCACTCCAATGAGCACCCGAGAAACCATGAGCTCATTGTTACAGGAATGGCGATCGCACTTGCCAAATTTTACCAAGTTTTAGTCAAACTTTAGCGAATGTTTTTACGATTTTTAGAATTTTAGTCAATTCAACAATGGCCGAAGTGTTCCCAGAGGATATTAACGATCATTTAGACGACGAAAATTTGAGTGAAGATGATGAATTCGAAGAGGTGAGTTTGAATGATATGAGTTTTGCGTTGGTCTGAAATTGCGTATAACGTCTATAGTATACGATCGTAAACGCTTTCTAGGAAAGTGTGGGTCATGATAATGAAATATTAAGACGTCATTGTGTTGATTATAGGGGCAGTTATGCGACGAACCGATGGAAAACGATGAAAGGTAAATTTGTCTACCGGCATCTGTTGTATTTTGAAATTTCATCTCTCGATAGTTCAGTGAAGCGATTCACTGCTGAATCAACTACAGCAATGCTTTCAATTTTTTCCTATAGTGTGGAAACGCTGGCCCTTTCTGGAGAGCTTGTGAATCCGAAAGACGAGAAAATAGGCCCCCAAAGCTTCGAACTTCTCAAAGTTCTGGGAAAGGGTGGCTATGGAAAGGTACGCTATAATAAATAGTTATGACAGAGAAGTCCCTTAACTACAGTGTTAATTTTTAAGCTCCCACTAAGCTCTTTTTCCTAATGAAACTGAAAAAGAATGATCCAGATTTAAACGCTTTAATTTTTTCCATAGGTCTTTCAGGTTCGAAAAGTGGATGGGAGAAACAAAGGGAAAATATTCGCAATGAAAGTTTTGAAAAAGGTACGCTAAACGTTTGTTGTGGTGATAGTCTATAACCGGTAGATTATTCACAGGTGAGTTTGTATTCAAGTTGCATAACCAAGCTTAAGCCTAGCTTAAGGCTTGAAAAGCTAGTATTGAGGATCAAAAACGTAATGGGTCACTTAATATTAGTCTCCGAGGTTATATTGGTAATTTCAGCTGATTTCAGTTTCTGGACTAGTTTTAGAGCGTTGAATAATTTTTGGAATGTCATGTACATTATATTTCCTGGAGACGATTTAAAGCGTTATGTACAACGTACGTGCCTGAAGTAAAGCTTATCATAAATAAAACAATTAAGAAAAGTGATACTGCCTAGTTGTGGTTCAAAAGTCAAGGTTAATCAAAGCTGTGGGTTAAAAATAGATTGATCTGAATTTTTTTACTATTTATTCAGCAGTTTTAATGGTAAAGTCATTTATTTAGAAGCTTTCAGTAAAAACTCAAGCTGGCAAATGGTTGCCAGGATATTAATTTTCTGACTTTTTGTCCAAGAGGCAGCAAACAGTTTTGTCACCTCATCATATCTTTTGTCTGTAGGGGAAACACCATGTAACTTGCGGGGTCACAGTGTATGGGAATAATATTATTGCCTTTTATTAGATCATGATTCTAGAATGGTTTATACAGGTTTGAGGCATTTTCTAGAATAGGGTGTAATATAGCCTGCACCACAGATGGAACTAAACTTCTGTTAACCAACTGCCTCGCTTAATTGGAAGAAGGGGGCCGGGGATACCCAGCTGCTTCCACTGTGGCCATCCAGCCCCTAGTTAGAGTACTGCCCCCATGGCTGGCAACTCCCCGCAACCCAGCCATGAGCCCCCATCTCAGGCACCCGTCACACTGATGAAACAGTGGGAGGAAGAAAAATAAGGGATGGGAGGTGGGGAAGACGCTAAATGAACCGCTCCACAGACCACTGCACAAGCGCTCAACAAAGAACTCAAAGATCTTAGCAGTGTACAAAGCTACCACTTACCATGTGAGCCTGCACTTATGGGATTGACCACTGGATGCCCGTTAAGCTCGTTGGCTGCTTGACCGCTAAGCTTGTGGACTGCTTGGCCACTAAACTTTTGGACCTCTTAACCGCTAAGCTCGTGAACCGCTTGACCGCTGTTCTTGTGAACCACTTGACCGCTAAGCTCGTGGTGGTTAACTTAGTTTAATTACATTTAACCAAATCCACGTCCGTCTGCAAAACAGCGCCAAAATCCTTGTTCTGGGCCCTCACCTTTGTTCCAGGATTTGTGTATGTGCCATGATTGGCCAATTATTAGGTTGAAGGGAAATTTGAAACATGTTTCTGGTAATTTGTTGAAAGCCATTAGCAAAGGCTTTTAGGTTCTAAGATGAGGACGACTACAAGAACAAGATTTTCTCAATACTAAGTGTAGCCTGTGAATACAGCCATCTCTGCTTGCTCCTCTCCACTTGGGTCATTTTGCAGAAGATATGTCTGTGCCTCATCAACAGAAATTCCAGGCTGATGATGTACCGGTAGTTCAATGTTTACAAAATTAATCTGGCAGTCATGGGGTTCCAAATGCAAATCTGTTTGGGTTTAAGAGTTCTTCTGCAATTGAGTGACTGCAAAACGTAAATGCTTCTTCTAAAGACAAATGTTTTCCACGAATAGTGACGGTTTTGTAGTAGATTCATTGCATTTACATTTTGACCTTTTGTCCTTTACTTTAACTCATTAACAAATAATAACTAAAAGAATACAATTCCTATGTTGACCAATCTGAGCTCCTGAACAGATTGTGAACAGATTTTACATCTTGGGTGTGGAATTTCTGTCATTAAGGCACAGACATCTCTCCCACAAAACGTCCCGAGCAGTGAAGAGCGAGGAGAGACAGTTTTAATCATACACTACTGGACAAGTGTACTAAGTAGTGCATGTGCATGAACCTGGAAGCGTCATTTTGGCAGGGAAAGGCGACAACTGTTATGCTGTCATTCTACCATGGGTTTTTAAGGGAAAGAAATAAGTAGGGGAACATTTTTCAATTAATTGAGGAAATACAGATTAGAGCAAAAATACTCTAAATCAGGAAGCTCTTGTGACTGGTGAAAATCACTGTCTATCTCAAAAGTGCTCAATTCTGACAGAAAATTAATAATGCTTATTGCTGTACCTCTAGGCTGCCATTATAAGAAGCCATAAAGATACTGCACACACAAAAGCTGAAAGGAATATTTTAGAAGCTGTTAAGGTTTGCTTTTGATTTGTCCTTAAAAATAATGCAAGGGTAACATAATAAACCTTTTCTTCTTCTCTTTTTCAACTTTGTGCTGTAATAGTAAATTTCATCTTATGGGGAAATTTAATTTGTAAAACCAAAATTATATTATTGGAATTTTAAAGTTGGTTTCCTATGAGCCAAGGTGGATGCATCAAAATGGAAAAATCTTTAGGAGTAAAACAAGGTGAAATACATTCAGTTTAAAAAACCTGTCTACACACATTTAATATTGGGTACAGGTAACTCGGATCATCTCAGTTTTGATTTTCTCGTAAAAGTGAAGACATTTACTAGTAGGAGAGGTATCTGACATAGTTCAAGATTGATTGACTGTCTTGTTTGGGTTCGATCGAATCCCACTGAAGTCCTGAAATTTTTGTCTGGTTTATTTGCAATGCTTCAATTGCAGTTACCACTGCAACAGTCATATCTTCAATTAAAATTTGTCTTGTTTTTATTTCAGCATCCATTTATTGTTGATTTAATATATGCCTTCCAAACGGGAGGAAAACTCTACCTTATTTTGGAATATCTCAGTGGTATGTTTAGTTCTCATTACTTACAAATGAGCTAACTCTAAAATGACATGTTTTGTGAAGTGTTCTGAATTTAATGATGCCTTTAGATTAGCAGCATACAGTACTGCTGCGAAGTAAGTTACCATCCTCTCACGAGACAAGAATTGCGTCATGATCACAGGCTACTCGATTCTCATTGCACACTGCCAATTCCTGTCGGGCAGGACGTGATTCTCGTAGGGCATGAGATGCCAAATCTAATGCCTGTTTTCCTCAGTCAGGAAACACTAAGCAAAAATTTTAGTTGGTTTCTTGCTAGACGTGTCATCAGTGATTTATGCCAAAAATTGCCACTTCAATGATTCTTGCACTACGCGATTCTCATCATGCAGGAAACAAGACACGACTGGTATAAACTTGCTTTTGACCAGTACTGTATGTTTGCTTTTATATTCTGTTGTCCTTTTCATCATGAGCTATCAAACAAAGTAGACTCCTCTGTTCTCTAGGGGGAGAACTCTTTATGCATTTGGAAAGAGAAGGAATTTTTATGGAAGATACAGCTTGGTAAGAGCCTGGCAATTTACAGTGATTTATCTTTTGAGGTGTCTATGTTAAAGGTAAAATCCATTAATTATCAGATTAAACTAAGGATTTCCTTTTTCCTGTACGAACAATGAGTTTTAGGAAACAAAGGAAATTTGGAATCAAACTAACAGCTGTAGGTTGAATACTGGCTTATCCTGAAAACAGATTTTGCCATCAACATGTGTACATGTAATACAGTCTTCAGGATTATGCAGTGATGACATTTCAATAGAGTGCAGAAGGCTGTTCAAACCTTTCTTCCTTTCCTTATTCTGACACATTTCTCCCAGAAAATTCTTAAAATTTAAAGGTCTTACTTGGCTTTTGTAAGGGTAGCAGCACACTTGGGGTGACATTGACATCATTTTGTAGCTTACGTTTTTTGTGCATGTCAGTTAGAGAAATCTAAAATTTTTGAGTTCCTGTAAAAGAGAGGAATCTTACAATACATCTTGTTGAGACTTTTGCAGAAACTCTCTCTTGGTTAAATGGTGCCCCAACTTTGTCGGAAAAAGTCTCTTGTTGTAGGCTTGATCAGGTGCCTAGATTACTTTTAGCCACATGTAATTCTGATTAATAACCTGTTTATTGCACACACAGTTTTTACTTGTCTGAGATAGTACTGGCATTGGAACATCTTCATAACCAAGGAATTATTTATAGGTAGGTACATGTATGTAGGTCAAAATGAAATTCAGATTAAAATGGTTTTAACCTAGGTTGATTCTCAATTTATTTTGTCTTCCAAGCCATGAATAATATGTTTATGCATAATTATGTACTTTTAAATAAAGTAGTTTTCTTGGCCATCTCTTTTTGCAGAGATCTCAAGCCTGAAAACATCCTTTTGGATTCACATGGTAATAACATGATACACCTGTCTATTTTTAACTCTGTAAGTTATGGCATCAAACATCCTTGGGAAATATCCTTTCCATCTGCTTTACAAGGCATGGTGTTCTGCAGTATGTTTTAAAACCTCTTTTAAGCAGCCTCCTACTAGAGTTGTCAGCAAAAATAATTTTTGCAATATTATTGTCAGATTACTTTATTATATCTCTCAGTTAGCACATGCACTGTCATTTGGCCATATTATCAAGGCCTGTGCTCTAAGAAAAATTGAAGAGAACACAGTGCTCTTAACCTGTGCTATCCAGGGTGCCTAGCATATCAAACCTATGAGAAAACTAAGATTTTCAAGTTGCCTGGGGGCAAAGGTTAGGCACCAGGGGCCACTGGGCACCTGCCAGAGTACAGCCTTGCATATTCTACTCTATGACACCTATAACCCACTTTATGTCAAAGTTTCCGTCGTGACCTCAAACTTTGTTAGGAAGAGGTATGCCAACAGAACCTCTATTTAGTGGCCAGCAACCAGTTATCAGTTCAGTGATGGATGACCACTTGAGAGAGGTTTGACTGTATTTTGTGAATTTTCTCTTTTAACAGGGCATGTCATGTTAACAGATTTTGGCTTGTGTAAGGAGGCAGTGTTTGAAGACAAGTTAACTCACACATTCTGTGGGACTATTGAATATATGTAAGTTGGTACAAATAGGAAATCATTAGTGATTTCCTATTTGATACATTTCTCCAACACCCACTTACCTCTCCCCAATACGGCCATTTTGGTAACGTCTAGCTGTATCTTTTTCTCTCTAAGGGCTCCAGAGATTTTGACACGCAGTGGTCATGGCAAAGCAGTGGATTGGTGGAGTCTTGGTGCACTCATGTACGACATGTTGACAGGCAGTGTAAGTTGACATTTTAGATAAGTTCTCAAGATTTAAATCTTTATTTATTTTTAAGAGACATGGTTCCTGACTTATCTGTTAACTTTTTTGTACAAGTTTTTATACTGAGACTGTGTTATTTTCAGCCTCCTTTTTGTGGAGACTCCAGAAAGAAGACAATTGATAAGGCAGGTTGATTCATGTTTTTTTTCCTTTATTAAGTATTTCCTGAACAAGCAACTTGTATTTATAGTGTCATTATTATGAATAATATGGAAGGGACAATGAGATAGCTAAAAGCGTTTTGGAGAAGAATGAAAACTAAGCTCAAATGGAAACCAAAGTAGAGCTCTGATTGCAAAGCCTTTCTTTATATTATGTGGAATTGCTGTATTGTGCTTCAAAACCCTAAGAACAATCTTTCACTATTAGGAGTTTTGATGCATGGGCTTGGCAAAGTATTTTCTTAGCCTTTTCTGGCTTAGATATGATTGGCTCTGACAGGCCGGTTAAGCATAGTGTGTAATAATATTATTTGCATTTTCTTGTGGTGCAGATTTTAAAAGGGAAGCTGGTTCTTCCTCCTTATCTTAGTCCAGAAGCAAAAGATTTTATTAGAAAAGTGAGTATTCATTTTGCATATGGGTAGGTACTCCCCTGGGCATTCTGTTCTATTAAGGTGATTCCCTGGTTTTGCACTGCGCATCTCTTACTGCGCATAACAAGATGTACGCCGTAAAAAAGAGCATGTGAAGTAACATTATTAAAATGAAGTTGACTGAAGAGAAACGCTATTGGAATTTTTGCTTGCGGTTGTTTCTTGCCGAGGTGAGACTCAGCGTGTTTGGAATGTGTATAACGTAAGCAGTACGCGTATTGCTGAGTTCAACTTCCTCACAGAAAACCTCGATAGTGGATGTTTAACTTGTGTTTACTCACTTTGATTTTCATTTAAATGCTTTCTTTATCACATTGTGTCCTAAATGAGATATCTCGATGTAAATTCTGTAAAAACGGATTTTTTAATACTTTCTTCCCTGTTTCACATACATTCTATTTCGAAACTCGCCCCAGTCCTCTCTCAAAAATTGGAGAAAATGCATTTGGTGCGCGCTTTCTGCAGCTCTACCGCAAAAACGAGTACGGTGACCCCCATTTTTTATTTCATGATTTTACTGCACTTTTCACTAACATGCGAACTCTAAAGTTCAAAAGCAGCCTTCGCAATTGCGTTTTTCGCTGCCGTCAATCGTAATTACGATCACAAGCAACGAACCTTGAAACACAGAAACACACAAAACAGATCCAAATCCACCAATCACAAATCACAAACCATGACCTTTTGAAACTGTTAACCCATTTGCCCCTGAACCGCCCGTAACCGTCCGTGCGGATCCAGGTCCTTTCTACCCATTGTGACGACATCAGTTTTAATGGTCAAGGACAACTTTCTTCGCTAACTTGTGCAGAGTGAAGAGATCTTTCAAACCATACCAGAATGAGCACAATTTAGTCAAGGACACCGGAGAAACAAGCAAAAAACCACGCGACATTGACCTGAAAATCTTCAAGAAAATCTTCTTCCATTACCCACCTACCTTTCCTTTCACCTAATCCTAAGATCCTAAAAGCTTTCCTAAAAACCCTTCCCACCAAAATGAAGCCTACTAAATGCCCAGCAAGAGAAAAAAAAAATGAGGCAAGAAAAGTGAAAAAAGAAGGGAGGAGAGAAAACGAAAAGTAACAGTCAAGACTGCTGTGTCACTTTTAGACCCAAAAACTATCTCGAAATTTTGCTTTCTGCGCATGCCCGAACTTCGCAAGCTGATATTTTGCATCTGGATTAGAAGGCCGCGAAGTGTTCGACCTGTAAACCAGTTTGTGGTAAGTTTTAGCTCTTTATAGCACGACAGTGACCAGAAAACCACTCGACTAGCTTCAAAACACGTTTTTTGGCAAAATCTCCAGGAGCGAATGGGTTAAAGTAAAGTTTTGTTTCCTAGGAGGTTCGTTAAGATGATTGACGGCAGCGAAAAACGCAATCGTCAGTTGTCAATTTGCATGTTTCGAATTCGCATGTTTGTGAAAAGCGCAGTAATAAGGACAGTGCTTCCTCTCGATGAGAAAAAAAATTGGCACAAATCTATGTTCAGTTTTTTGGCAGTTTTATTAAATTGTGCGGATTGAGCTATCACGGGTCGAATAGCGCGTGTCCAATTTAATTCTACTTTGGAGTGTAAAGTAAAAACAAAGGCACTAAAAGGCATTTTTCTGGTACGTCAGTGGATAAAGAATACATGCATCACCGAAAAAATCTCTCCTTTTTGTCTAGTTTTGGGCTGCGCACGGTTTTTGTCAAAGGGTCCTAAATAGCCGTATTTGTCAGCGTTGTGACGTCAAAACGAGCCCGGTGACCTTCACTTTTTATTACTTTTTTGTCGTCTCCTTGACTTGTTTCATCATTGTACCAAGTTTCATCTACAATCTATGTTAGGTTCTTTTACTAAGGAATCACCTTAACTGCACTTACCACCTAGTAAATTGTCTTATTAAAGTGCACTTTGTTAATGCCTGTATTATAGTTGACAGTCTGTTCAACCAGAAAACTCAAGGGGATGACCTTAGGTCCTAAATTAATATAATTATGTTACTTTTCTGGAAAGCTTTTCATGCAGAAAAATACTATTAGGTTTTTTGTATTTCTGGTTTTCCTTTGTACTTTTGCAGTATTATATTTAACTTTTGTTATATTTTCAGCTACTGAAACGCCATGTCCAAGCAAGACTAGGCAGTGGACATGATGGTGCAACCCCCATAAAGGTACAGGTTATTTGGTAATGGGTCTTTTCGCCAGTGAGTCGTTTCGCAAACAGCCTGTTCGCTAACGTTTAAAGTTGTTTCACTAATGTGTCAGGTCAAACAAGTTGCAGCATGACCTCATTGTTAAAAACGTTTTTGTCTTATTTTTTATTTCATCTTTTAAAGAGAACAAAGCTTTTTGGTTTTGTTTTCCTTAGTGACCATACTTCATTTTCATTTTTTGTTGTTGTTGCTATTCTGCAGAAAAATCATTTATTATATATAATTCAGCAGAACCTGTGCTCTTTTCCATGTGAAGGCTGTTCAAAATGTTTAAAAGGGCATCAGTTAAATAACTGCAAGAGCTAGTAGAAATTTAATGATTTCTAGCTTTCTGTTTTTATTTTCAGACCCACCCTTTTTTTCGTGCCACGAAATGGGATGATCTTTATATGAAAAGAGTGGAACCACCATTCAAACCAAATATTGTAAGTGTAAAGTGTGAAATTATAACTATGTTTAGCATTCATATCGTCACTCTTTTACCCTTGAAGCCCCAATCCCACATACAAACTAATTCTCTAGACTGATCAGCTCCATACATTTCCTTTAAAATAAAGGAGTAGTTGAGAGAATCTGTTGAAAGACCTAAGGATTTTCCTTTGAGCGATAATTTTTTTTGTTACTTCTCATAACTGAGGCTGTTACGTTATTGATGTTGGTCACTCTAGGATGCACAGTCAGGATCAAGAGCTAAACCTTGGGAACTAAACTATTAATGTTAATTACAAGTTACTCAAAAGATTGTTATCTTCTTTTGAAAAATTAATTTCAAAGTGGGTCGTGTAAACCAGTACATGTCATTTTGTTTGCATAAACCCTTTGCATTGAACTGTGGGTGTAGAGTTTAATTTTTCGCTGTTCTTGTTCACAGACAGGTGAAGAGGATGTTAGTCAATTTGACAGCAAATTCACCAGACAGACACCTGTTGATTCTCCAGTTGACTCAATGTTAAGTGAAAGTGCAGATAAAATATTTCAGGTAAAAGAAATTAAAACTGTGGACCTGGTGCAGCGAAGGGTGCGTAAAACTTTGCAGCCTTTCTCTTTGTACGCCCCACATTCTTTGAACTTCTTCACAAGACCTTGTTACTTTTCAACTTTCTCATCTTCCCTCTTTCTCACTCTTCCATCCTCCAGAATTGCCGTAGTCTGATTGCACACTGAGATCCCCCAGACACTCGCCATCAGTCATCATAAGCCATCAAGGGTTTTGATGGTTGATGATGTCTGACACCCCCGGAAAATTGTTTAATGGCCTTAGCTACCACAAGTCTCCTGTAACTCAGTGGTAGAGCATCAGGTCTTGTAATCAGAAGGTCGTAGCTTCAACTCCTATTTGGAGTACTCAGGTTTTTTATTCCAGGCAGCCTGTGTCACCGACTGAAAAAACACCTCTCTCATGCATTCACCAGGCTCAAAATTCATCATCACATTTCTGTCATTGCACCTATATAAACACATATCAACATCCTGGTCATGGGAGTATGCCGCAGGATGTTTGTCACATGAACGTACTTTAGTGGCCTTAGCTCCCACAAGTCTCCTGTAGCTCAGAAGGTCACAGGTTTGACTTCTATTGGGAGTACGCAGGTTTTTTTCTTCCAAGCCGCCTGTTTCACTGACTGTAACAAAAAAAACGTCTTTCTCGTGTATTGACCAGGCTTAACATTCACCATCATTTCTCTATCACTGCACATAAGCACATCTCAACATTCCAGTCCTTGCGGTATGGTATGCAGGATGCTTGTTACATGATCTTAGTTTACTGAGTGACCTACAGTAGCTGTCACGAGTCTCCTGTAGCTCAGTGGTAGAGCATCTGGACTAGTAACCAGAAGGGTCATGAGTTTGACTCCTATTGGCAGTACTCAGGTTTTTTTCCAAGCCACCTGCGTCACTGACTGAAAAATCATCTTTCTCGATAAAGCTCTTTATATACATCATACCTGTAATACACCTGTCTACACAGTAAACACTCAAAGGAAAGTGTAAATATTTTGCAGGGCTTCACCTATATTGCACCATCAGTTTTGGGTTCATTACATAGAGATATTCCTATGTCACCATGGAAATACACAAGGTGAGTCCTGAAAAAGGAAAAACAAAACAAAACAAACACGGTTACTGGTTTTTTATATATGTTGTGGTTAGTTGAGCAGTGAAACCTTAAACTTAAAGCCTGCTTATTGTCCTGTTTCCAGCAACCATGGGTCCCATAATAGTGGGAGAGCACTGTACAAGGAATACTTGGATTCAATTATTTAATTTTTGTCTGGTCCAGCTGTTGAAAAGCTTCATCTGCACTTATTACGGGATGGGATAGTACATTAGCACTTCTTCTTTCCCTGAGAACTTTTCTGTACTTTGATGGAACAGAAATTACTAGCCTGTCGCAGAAGTATACGTCTACGAAGTGGTGCCAAGATCCTTGTTGTTGGCCCCTCTAGACTTAATGAATTACCGGAAGTGCGTTTTGAATTTCCTTTCAACCCAGTGGGCAAATCAACAGTTGAATTAGGTTTGGCTCATGAAAAGTTCGGCATCTGAATCGGGCCCAAGGCATTATTGGCTTCCTAGACAGGACTCCCGTGAGAACTTGTTTGTTGTATTGTTACGCAGATTGACAACGGGCATGCAACTGGCTCTTGTATAAACTTTACATTCATTTGATAGCAATGGTTTTCTATTTGTTCATGCTTTCATTGTTTTAAACATGGCTTTTTGTTTTAGTTTGTTAGATTTCTTGTTGTATTTAATTTGTTGTTTAAAATATTCCATTTCTTCCTTTTTTTATTTCAACAGATCACCAAGAAAAAATACACAGCCCATGAGGTAAGGAAAAATTTATAGTCTTTATGTTGTGTGGATGATTTTTTAAACTTTTTTCATGGACAAAATCACTCTCAAGATGGGGGAAATAAATTGGCAAACTGCTAGAAATGCCGTTTTTTATGCGTAAACTGTGGCGGGGGGCACTTTCACCATTAGCTGTGCTTGCATTATTTCACACAGATGCAACGTGACGTAACTAGTGTATAATGATAACTCATGCGATTTTCTATAACTATGTGAAACTTTAGGAAGTCAAAGTCTATCTTGATAACATTTTAAGAAATTAGCAAAACCTTGTATGTGCTTCCGGATTTTAAATGTGTGTTTGGTAGAAAACTGTAGAAGTAAGTAGTTTGCTGAAAAAACCTTGTGAAAGGCTGTTTTAACATTCCATTTTGTGGGAAATATTCATTTACTACTTGCTGCTATGACCTGTTATGTTTGGAATAGGTTACACATTAAACAAGGAGCTCATGTATGTGTGTCGTTAATGAGGCTATGTAAATAAACACTATATGAAGAACTAAAAACTGAATGAGTTCCCTTACATAATCAGAGTATATCAGTCAAGAGAAAAAAATTAATCGGCACTTCCTAATACTGCCCTTCATTTTTGCACCTTATTGCTTTAACTGCATGAGGAAAAGAAAATTCACGAGGAAAGATTTAGGCCTACCCATATGGGTACGCCTATTTCTCTCTGCTAAGCATCAAGCTTATTATATACTAGTGCATTTTGAAAATAATAATCACTCATTTTTTTAAATAACGAGGTTATGAAAATAGCGACGAGGAGCAAGTTCATATTTTGTCAAATGGGTACTGAGAAAATATTGCAGAAAAATGTGTGTAGTCGGTAGATAGTTTATTGTAGGGAGTAGGAAGGAATACTAGCGCTGTTGATGATTTGTTTTATTCGTGTTTTCCTTTAACTGTCTTGGTTTAAAGCGTTTTGCTTCTAAAGTGTTGCTTTTGTGAACCGTTATGTAAATCAATTGTAAAGTTTTCTTTTTTGTTACATTTTAACGTGTTCGGAAAACATTCATTTGGTTTCTTCCTTTCTTCTCGCCGTGCGTGCTTAACTTTTAAGTACAAAATTTTGATAAATATGTCCTGTATTTTTCAATGCCTTTGTTGCTCTTATTAATTTTGGTGTACGCAGTAGCTTTTACCGGCCAGTTTTTATGCCGATTTTTTTTCTTGGCGTTTCCCGTGAGAGAGGAGATCGGACCGATATGTCGTTACGCGAAAATTGTCGTTATGTTGGGCCAACCAATCTGAGAGTATAAAGCTACCTTAACATTCTTCCATGCTTGAATGCCTTGTGAAAAATAATAGGTTGTTTTAGTTATTATTTTTGCAATGACGGACAAGTTAGTAAAAAAAATTCTTAACTCCTATGTTGGTTGCTTCTCTCTCACCCCTTCTCTTTCCTTGTGATTTATTACAAGAGCTGCTTATCCGAAGACGCAACTGTAGAATTTCAACAGAGTGTGAAAGTTTCGAACGCTAATGCCTCTATAATTCCGCGCGCTATTGGATATCATATGGCCCTTATATTTAATTACTAATTTCTGTCACTAATATGCTTATTCTGGCCGTCTTCTTATCACTGAACTGGTTTTCGCTTTTTGAAACTTTGCAAGCACATCTTGCGTGTGGCGAGACGTAGTTTTGTTATAGTTACTATTTCACAAGAGTTGTTTATCCTGTAATACAAAGTGTAAATTTGTCTTTCATCAAAACATGTGGTTAAATAAAAAGACTATTCCACGGGTTTTTCAACTTTTGACTCGAAAATTCGTCAACACGGCTAAAAAGAACGCCGTGAAATTAGTAAAGATGCCAAGTTAAAGCGCGATTTGTTGAAAACTAAAGAAGATGTAGCTCGGCAAAATCGCCGCATTTTACTGACACCATACAAACGCCTGTGAAATTTCTCGACTTTGTGGAGCAATATTAGAGAGGTTAAGCATCGCGTTTACGTCAAACGACAAGCGCGAATTTGTACCACGTGACCAAGTTTCCCCTTTACGTGTCGTTTACTGTTTATTATTTCAACACATAAATTAGTAGTTTCACGCAATTTTTTATCCATGAGAATTGTTTTGAGCTGTTTTTATCCGCTCAGTTTCTATTTTGAGAAATTCTCAACTTGAATCTGTCGTTTGCCGTGTAGGTGAAGGTCATCTCTCTATTTTCGCTCAGTTTTAATGTATCACCGTTAAATTCGGAAAGTGTCCTAATTATAAGGCACTTTTTCCATCAGTGTGAACTTGTCCTAATCAAAACTTGAAAGAAAAAGGAAACCGTGGAAGTGTCTACTTTAAAGGAAACAGTTTCAGATGCAAGCTCAGCTTAAAGGATTCCATTATAATTGGCTTTGCTGCTCAATAGCGTAACTAATGGCTTTTGAATTCTAACGTCTGTATCTAATTTGCTCCTTCTGCATGTCTTCTTGTAGCCCCGCCAAGATTAAGGAAAATGGCTGCAGCCAGTTTGGCTTTGATAAATCATGGCAACCAAACAGAACAGACTCTCCACTAAACAGGACGCCGGCCATGAAGGCACTCGACTTTAACTCTTCCGCTGTTCCTATGGATACTTCTAACGGAAGTGATAAAGTATTTAATGGCACTGAGGGTTTGTTACATTGCGGCAACCCTTCACTCTCCCATGCCACAGTAACCAATCCTCATCTTCAAATGACGTAACAAGTAATTCTACAATGGTTCTTACACAATTCCATTTCTTCTTAATTGACATTTATAAAAATCACTCTTAGTCTTAATCGGTTAACAGATTAATTAATAAATCGTTTCTTACAGTTTCTTCTATTTAATAAATTCTACGTAATTGTTAATTTGTCAGACGAGAGGTTGAAGTCAAGTTTGCCATACATATTTAGATAATTTTAAACAAAATTTATTGTCTTAAAATTCTTTAAAGTTTAGTGAGAATATGTTTGCTGCGCTTAAATTACCGTTAATCCTCAAACCTCCCTCCCCCTCACCCGCCGGCTTCCCTGGTGAAGAGCATGTTTTCCTAATTTTTCTGGTAATCTATCAAACATGAGGTGAGTGTTTCATTGATGGGATTTCAAACACAATATCCTCCGCTGCGGGTAGCCCGCGAGCAAGCTCTTCCTCCCCACCCCCCGGGAAACCCCGGGTATCCCCGGGAGCTCCGGAAGAGCTTGCTCGCAGGCTACGCGTAGCGGAATATTTCTGATTAACCACGCAGGCGTCGAGTGTTTGATGAAACTTCTGTGCCAAACAATTTTGGAGGAGAAGAAAAGGAGGTGAAAACAAGTCGTTTTTCATGGTGCCTCCAAACTGTTTGGCTATTGAATTAAAAATGAGTTTGAGGATTGTGGAGAAGGAAATCTTTCTCTTTTCACAACTGATTTGACATGTCAGAGTATAATCATGTAAAGTATTCACTTCCAAGAATTAACGTCTTGAGTGATTAAATGACCAACAGGCTGTTGAAACGTGGGGGGTTTAAGGGGGGATTTGAGGGTTTTCGGTATACCACCGTTGGCAGTTTGCTTAAAGAAATTTAGGAAATTTAAAATATATTTCGGTTGGATTCATTTGGAGCGTATAGCCCTCTCATTTGCTCGTTGGAATTCGCCACTTTGGACAAGAGAAAGGAACTGGAACTGACATGCGTCCTGCAATGGTTTCTGGGATCGTTACTGGGGACGCGCCGTTCAGCTATTGGCCAGTTTTTTTAACATTCCCAGAAGCCTTTGCAAAAGTTAACTCGTCCCAGTTTTCTTTCGTCTGTAAAAAAAATTTCAACGGGTAAATGGGACGCCCAGACGTGTATGCTGCAAATTAACCCACCTTTTCCAATATTGACATTAAATTACATAAAAATGCACGTAATTAATTTAAAACACATCTCTGTTATTTATTGTTTTCATATACCCGGCCACAAACTTTGCAACATTTAACACAGTGTAACTAAAAGGCTGGTCCGCAAGTATTGACTAAAATGATGTAGATACGGATACAAAATTCTTGCATTGTGCATTATGTTAGTTGTAAGGAGTACAGTTTGAAAGAGTATGGTTTGAGCAAATGATGAAGTTTCGATGACATATTATATGATTATAATGAACGATAATTTATTTCAAAGGATAGTCAATTAGTCGATAAAAAAATGTTGATCTTGAGGTGTTTACAAATTGAGACGTAATTTCTGCACAGCGCTTTATACTCCGTGTTAAAAAAGCTCGAATGTGGTTAAAAATAATTTATTAAAGGTGCGCTGATACTTTGGTTGTTCTAGCAGAGAGAGTATATTTTTACAAAGGTAGAACATGAATCAGCCCTTATAGGTTTTAGAATGTTTTAGTTCTAGGAGCAGTTCTGAAAGGAGTTGGCTTGCTTGTTTTTTTTATTTATTTGTTAGGCTAACTTGTGTAGACCTCAGCTATATATTTAGGACATTAATGAATGTTGAGTTAACTAACCAAGGAGAGGCATTTTAAGCCACAAGACTGTCGAATAACATTTCTATTCGCGCAGAGAGTAAGACATTCCCTTCACTTTCATCACGTACACGTACGTAGAAAAATTAAAAACAATTCTTTTGCAAACGTTTGGAGGGAAAACAAAGAGTTTAATGATATTTTTTGAGCAAGGTCTATGATGGGGCCAATTTTTTTTTTAATTTTACCTAGAACAAAAATTACCTCCTGCAGTGATTATAGCTTACTTATCGTAAAACATTGTGTGCACGAACTGGAAATCGAGTTCAATTGTTTGTTTAAATGTTTTTTGCAGAAAATTCTAAATGGTAACAGAAATCAGAAGATTTTAGCAAAAGTAGTTTTCTCTGCCAAGTGAATCCCTACAAATTAACTCAGGAATTCAAACAATTTTTAATCGATTGAAATAAACTGCTGGACAGACACTGTACAAATGTTTCCAAATACACAAACAAGATGGTTGTATCTTAAGCTTTTCCCTCATTCACAGTCTCTAATGCAGCCTTTATTTTCTGTCACGCAACTGTCACGAGAGTGGCGTGACAACCCAAATGTAAGCTTTATAGGAGTCTACTTACCCCAAAGTGACTTTCTGTATAAATTCAATGCTGCTACAGTGCTTCATGTTACAGTTCTTTTTAAAGAGCTACAGTCTCTGTATCATGAATAATCAAGCCTTCATTTCAGGTCATCCATAATCCTTTATAGATAATTGTCTATTGCTTCTTGTGAGTGTGTGTGTGTTTTTTTTTTCTTTTTTCCAACTAATATTCCGGGGTTTGCAATTGCAAGATAGTTTTGTATCTTCAAACGTCAAACTCCTCTGACTATATTCGCAGTTGTCTTATTGCTCATGTCTTATTGCTAATGTATGTTGTACGATTAGTTGTTTTCTTTAATGTCGTTTTTATTCAGCAACCTTGTTTTGGAACAACCATTCCTCGTGACTTAATACCATGTTCAATACTGTTCACATTTGTTTGTATCTTTATTATGTACAAGTTAGCTGTTAAGAAACCTTGCCTGTTTGTAGAACATTCAGTTAAAGCTAAGAATTAATATTTATCTTTATAACGTTAGCTCTCTATTTATTTTAAAGTCTTAAATCTTGAAAAGGTTCTTGACACCAGTGGGATCAAGGGAAAAGTAATGCCAAAATGGAACACGGGAAATTGAGATTCGCTGCTTCTTGTATTTCTAGGATTCTTTTCGGTGGTCCCAACTGGTAGCAAGATCTGTTTTCAAGACTTTTCCGAAAACTGCTGTATTAAATAGTACTGCATTGTAGATAGGATAGAATATATGAGCTTAAAAGTTATTTCTTAAAGAATATTGCGACAATAAACGTGACGTGAAAACTAGAGGTTATTTGTTCTGGCGCGGTTGTATTCATCGGGTTGTAGGGGAATGTTGATTACTTTGTCCATGACACTAGTGAAAGGGTGGTTATTAGGAAATCTTTAAAACAGTTCAACCTTCAAGTCCCCATAGTGGCCAGCATTAATTTTCTCCTAGCATTTCCCCTACATAATTAAAAGAAAAGGTTATGAAAAAAAATAAATAAATAAAAATAAACACCAAGGGGGAAAGCTTTGATCTTTTATCAAATTCTCTCGACTTATTTTTCAAGGAAAGGCATATAGAGCAAGTGGAGAATTTTGATATTGGGGCTTAAATAAATAAGCGAATATGCGTTTTTTTTTTGTTATAGCAGTTGCGTTTCTAACTCGTGATAAAACGAGTTGTTAGCCCTTGACAAAGACGTTAAGTGCCATACAGTAAAACCCTGCGACTAAGAACCTGGATTTTCCAATTTAGCCTTAACAGGTTGAGGTCACAAATGTAATAACTGGTGCTAAATGTAATAACGGTCACGACACTGTAACGAAGGAGGGGTGAGTCATAAGAGTCACGTGATTGTGTAGTAGGGATGGGGTTGGGTCGCTTTTGTAGTCAGGGATGAGTCACAAATGTAGGCAGCCCGGTCACAAATGTGGGTTGCAAGCAACGTTAACGTTGGTGAAAAGCGTGTTTAGGGCTTCAATTGTTTACATTATAACACAGAATGGATCAAAAATGACGTGTAATTAAGATTTTAGATGTAATATCAATGAAGGGGTAAATTTCCTAAGGTAATACTGTTAATTCTTAAGAAGAATAGGAGATTTATAGTTTCCCAATAGTGACCACATTATACAGTACTATCCGATATTTGATAGAAACTAGAAAACATGAACGAACGTCACCTTTGTTTGATACTCGGTATAATAACATTGAAACTTTGATGAGGAGGGGAACGCGCGCAGCGAAGACACGGATCTCATGGTTACTTTTGTTCTTACAGTATGGAATGAACAAGCTGCTGGAACCTGAATTCCACCGTGGTGAAGTTTCTTGCGTGACTGGTCGTCATGAAGATGATCATACTGATCACAACTGTTTATGATGCAATTCTTGCCACTCGACGAATAATTCTTTCTAAAGCTAGCAAATTAGGCCAATAGCAGCTTTGTATTTTTTTCACGAAATTTATAATTTAGTTAACATTATTTATGAAAATAGATTTGAGGTTTAAGGCCGACTTTTAAAAAAGGAGAGTATCTTTGTAAATGGAAAGCAGGGAGATTGAAGCCCGCAAGAATGCCTTTCCTTTGTCTTTTCGTTGAAGTCGATCCTTTCAAAAACATTCCCGGGGATTATTTAGACTTAACAATGTCGGGAAGGCCGAAGACCTTTCATAGGGGGTTTCAAGTATGCCTTCTAACGAATTTTCTTTTCTATTTTTTTTCTATTTTTTTTTATCTTTTTTTTCGAGTTCAAATTTTGGGATCATAAAACGTTTCTGGGAAACTGCCCACCTACCCCTCCCTTAAGCCAACATTTTCCCCTAAGTGAGAAGTACACGTTAATGATGGATGGCTTATGGGAGGGGTAGGTGGGCAGTTTCCCAGAAACGTATAATGATACCAAATTTTGTTGTTTCTCTTCGGTGTGAATTGATTTTTGTGCTGAGAAAAAGGAGAAAGGAGACTTGCGACACTTAATGAGAGTTACATCCTGGGTCATCGGTCTTTTTGTAGCTTTTGTTCTCAGCCTTATTGGACATTTGGTCTCGATCGCACCTTCCCATCACTGAGAACCTCTCGCTCACTCTTGCTTATAAAACAATGACTCGTATCTTAACTGATCAAATTTACGTCGTCTATGACCAGCTAGGTCACTTCTGTAAAAGTGTTTTACGACTTCTTGGACTTCTTGGTAACACTCTGGAAAAAGAAAATGTAGAAGAACGTTATTTTGAAAAGGAAGATTATATAACTTTTTAGAATCTAGTAGTGCCGAGTACCGAGTATTAAAAACCAACGAGTGTGTTCGTTTTTACTTAACTTCTTATACATAGTTAAAGGACTATGAAAGAGAATAATGTGTTTCAATTTGAAACAAATAATGAAAACTACGCAACTCTTCTACAACAAATTTCTCATTATAAATGACTGTAGCACAACTAGAGTTAATGTATTAGGTTTGGATTGAAATAAAATTGGCGATGCAACCCCCATTTAGATTAGTCTATGGGAAGCAGATACGATTTCATCAGTATCAACAACGTTTTATGGAACTTTGATTCTATCTTTTAATAAAAAATAACCGGAGAATATGTTGAGAAAAACACGCACACATTTTAAAACATACCACTTCTCGCCCCGCCCCTACCCCCTCTTGCCACTTCCTTCCACACTTCACTGCTGGACACACTTCTCGAATAACCCCATCTTCCCTTCGTCTGTATTTAAATATAGCACTAGTATAGTAAATCTCCAAAGGTTACGGAGTGCGTTCGACAACGGTCGAAGGTCAAAACGCTTTTGCTCAAACGCTTTGCTTTGGGTAAGTTTCACGTGATAGATGATCAAAACACACGTGAAGACATGACAAGTGATAGAAGGTCCGAACCTGCGTGATCACAGATTTCCTTCGAGGGATGCAATTCCTTCTTAACGAAGCTGCCTACATCTGAACATCGGTGCATGCGTAATAGCAACCTGCAGTTTAGGATTGCGGGCTCCTCTTGTCTCCCGGCAAATGGGGCCGAGGCTACTTCTACACAAAACCAGATAGCTTCCTACCGACATGAAAAGCTATCCGGCACAATATGAATGGCAGCACAAGTCGGAGTGGTTGGTCGAGAGGAATAAGTGCACTTTAATGTGTAATCATTGCACTAGGTTTCTGTATTCCCCTCCACACTATGTTTAAGACGAGGAGGTAACCACCCCCCGGTTAGCTCAATTGGATAAGCGCCGGTCTGCCGAGCGGAAGGTCGGGGGTTCAAACCCCAGCCAAATCAACACTCATGGTCTTGAAATAACTGAGGAGAATGGGCTCCCTGTTGTGACATCTACAATGGTTATTATAGTCTTCTCGGATAAGGACAAAAAACCGTAGGCCCTGTCTCACAGTTCTTTCACTGTTCTTATTCTTGTGGAACGTCAAAGAACTCAGACTGCTGTTCGTAAAGAGTAAGGGGCGTAGATCCCAATGGTGTGGTACAACCTTTCAAAGGCTGGGTGGGCAATGAAGGGGTTTATATCAGTTGGGACGTAAGTCCCCGTTTCATCCCTGTCACCGTGGCCCAGGCCAAACGTCGAACTTTTCATGCGACGAACCAAACTTTGTGAGTTAAGTTCATGAAAGATTCGACGTCTGGCTATGATAATGTATATTTAGCCTCGTATGGGAAAAAATGATTAAAATGATCACGTTTTGGTCTGATTCAGTTGATTGGCTCGACGCATCCTAAGTTCGACGTCTGACCCAACAGACGATCTTAACTTAATTTTATAGGTCTACCCAAATAGACCTTTTTAGCTTCTATGTTTTGTTTTCCCAAATCAGACCACGTGATGTTCTCCAGGGAGTTTGCCGTTTGGCTTTTCGTCAATTATGCATACATGTGCACGTGGATGCACGTGCATTAGACGACATTTGAAAGAAGCAGTTCTCTAGGGGTACCATCACGTGGTCTGAAATGGGAAAACAAAACATATAAGCTAAAAAGGTCTATTGGAGTTTGGTTCGTCTCACGAAACGTTTGACGTTTGGCCTACGCCTAACACAATTGCAAACCTAAGACACGTCAGGTTTCCCGGTTTAATCAAGCAAACTGTACCATAAAATCACACTGCTGCTTTATTTTTGTCAGTATCTTAGATAACTATACACTCTTACTATACAATATTAAGTTAAAATATAACTTATCGTTTCACTCTGAATAAAATACGGCAATAAAAATATGAATACAAAATGATAAGAACCATATTCTCGGCTAGACCTCACTATGTCGTCCCGACATTTTATGAAGGCTAAGACAATGTAAGTGTTTTTATCAACTTTCTATGAGAACCCAACCGGAAGTTTGTCATGTACAGCTTACATTGTGCAAAACTTAAAAATCAGTTTGTGTTCCAGATTTCGACTATGGCTTTTGGAAACGAAAAAAGCTTTCAATGCTTCCGAAAACAGTGTTCACGACAGTTATGGTAAATGAATATCGACCAATCTCAACGTTGTTCCAGTAAACCCATAAAGTGAAAGCAACTTATTGCGGACTTCAATGAGTTTGCTGATTGCTTTGGTTTTCTATCAGGGCCTCATTTACACGGTAGCCATATTGTCCCGAGAGACTGAAAAAAGCTCGTACGAAGCCCCTTCAAAGGGGCGCTAAAATACAAAACGATACACCTAGGTATAATGTATAATAGTGGTCAAAAGATTTCTTATATAAAAGAGATCACATCACAAAATGGATAAAAGTGACGTATAATATTATACAAAATCATGGCCCAATTATTCAACGCCAAATTTAGCTCGACTAAGGGCCTGTTTACATGGAGTGGGGGACCCCGGTCTAGTGGGGTAGGTTTCTTTTGTTTTGTGTCCCCCAGAGCGTGAAAAGAAAAGAAACCAACCCCACTAGACCGGGGTCCCCCACTCCATGTAAACAGGCCCTTATTCTAAAATACTGTCCAGTGTCAGTGTCGCATTTGCCCGCTGGAATTTTTTATTGTTTTTGAATAATAACCCACCCGGCAAATGAGACAGCTATACGCGAATGTTGCAAAATAATTTACTCTTATGTGTCAGTAAAGTAAGGTGCATTTATTTGCAGCACACATATGAGTCAAAATTCGAGTACCTGTTTACTTTCATTTCTTTCACGTTACACGTGTCAGATGGTATGCGATAAATTTATGGAGCTTTCAAATGTAAATGAGTCACGTGTAATGGTAAATTCAAAGAAGCGGTGACAAGCACTCTGAACGGAGCTAACGTGGCAGCCAGGTAAGATTGTAAATATTTGTTGTTCTCTGCAGAGTTAAAATAACTGTCATTTCTCGATATGGCCATAGTTGCTGTACACATTACTTTTTTGAACAAGCTGACAGCTCCCACGGGCAGTGTTTGGGCTCTTATCGAAGACACGTATACCCGCACGCTGCAAATATACCTACTTGAGTAAGGGTTACTTTAGCAATTGGGAATTTGGCATTTGGGCCTAGGGAACTCACTGCAATAATTGCTTAAACGACCGCCAAAGCTTGAAGTATGAAAAAATCCCATTGAAAATCCACAAAATTATTCGCGAACGCACCGGTCAGAGATGTGACGGAACGGACTAAAGCGAATTTTTTCCGCAAAGCATCATGGGAAGACGTTTCCATTCTCCTTGAATGACCGCCAAACATTAGCTCCTCCTCACAGTGCGCAAAGCCACCTTGAATTAGGTACAAATCCACCCTACGATTACCATACCCCATTTAGTTTTCTAGCATCTAGAATATAAATGATGTTTTCGCTAAATTTGGCGTATTTGAATGGAATATGGCCAAGCAAAGGTACGTAAGTCATATTTCAGTGGACTATGAATGGCACTGTTATCTGGAGTTGTCGATTATTTTCCGTTGTAATGAGGCGTAAGCTCGTTCCAGTTTCATGTTTTCCTGAAAAACCAAAATGAAGTCATCAACATATTAAGGCCTCTCAGATCGCAGTGAAGAGTCAGTCAGTCGTTTCACGTACAAACGGCGACAGTCTTTGTATTATTTGCCGTTCAGGGGGAGGGAAGGGGGTTGGGAGGGGGAGGGGGTTAGGAGAGATTAAGGAACAGGAAAAATGACCAAAAAGTGGTAAGGCCTTACAGAAATTTATTCCAGCGATTCATTTATTTTCACTACTGAGCACCCTACCATACTCTTCAAACAAATCGAACCCCTTCTGCGTCATGTTTGTCAGTACTCCCGTACTGATCTACACTTAGTATGGGCGGCATGCACAAATGGATCACTCACGATACGCAAGAGGGAAGAGCTACATTACCATCCTTACCTTGGTAGCATGTGTGAGCATTTTCTGTAACTTGGTCATTTCCATCATCTTTTGACTTAACATGGCGGCATTTCTTTGCGCTTTGTCTTCCGACATCTATAGAAAGACAAAATTTATAGGGTAACGGACTTATATACCCTTGAAACAATTCCCGTTTCGAGCAACTGTGTTACACAGAAAAGCGGGAAAAGAAAACTTGGGCTACTGAAAAGTGTATGCTTCAGTACGCAAAACAAATTTAAAAACAACGATTCTTGTAGCCCCGGGGGAGTACTTCGGATTACAAGTGACGGGGATGATCGAAGGATTTTTGGGGGGTTTAATTTTCGACTCCGCGGATGTTTGGGTAGGAAAATTTGGCAAGTATTTTTTAGGTGGTTTGATTTAAGTAGGGATTTTTAGGGGTATTCAAAACAATGTGAAGATTCCTGGTAGTTCACCCTCGTACCCCGGCCGCGTAGTGCTGCGAATAAAGTATCCTTATGACCTTTTTTTTTTTTTTTTTTTTTTTTTTGGGGGGGGTTAATTCTTGATCCAGGGATTTTTTTTGGATTTTCGCTGCACGACCACAAAGTGAAAGTGCCTAATTTCTCGTTCGTCGAGGACGTGAAGATAAGACGACGACTTTATTTTTCTTTTCCTGAACTTCGATACAGTCTTTTAGAATTAAACTCCGGAAAAATTGGACATTTGACGAATTGAACGAGATGAAATAAGCGCGATAAAGTTTGAAGCAGCGCGAATTCACTTTTTAAATGACGTTTTCGTAGCCGTCGCCGTCGTTGTTACTTTAGCTCTTTATTGTAAAAAAACCTCTTCCAATGATCGTCTGCTTACATACAACGCTACAACCACGATACCTTAAGTGCAGCATGAAGCCTTCTTGAGTCTTCCTCACTCGCGTTAAACTACAAGCAATGTAAAAAAAATACTATTAGTAACGATCACATTGATCATGCAAATCACGAGGGGAAAAAAGAATGAAGAAAAATAACTAAAACTTCAAAAGTACAATTAAACCTCCCTAGAAAGGACTCCTTGGGAAGTGGGAACAGAGGAACTAGGCCAGCCTTTGTGGAGAGGTGTTCGTTGTTTAGGGATCAGAACAAGAGTGAATGTATTCGCCGGAACAAACAAAAGAACCCGATTACAGAGGTTCGAATTTCCTCTTCAAAAACTCTTACTCGAATGATCACAGTAAATTTGTTCCAGCCAGAGATTTTCTCGAAGGCTGACTCTGAAATGTGGTAACTATACTACGTCTTAAGCACAGTAAAGTTGTTCCAGCGGGAGATTCTCTCGAGGATTGACATACGCTCTTCGAATATTACACGTGGTAACCATACTTCCGCCTTACCGATTCGGTCGAGACTACACTACAGTGGCTATCATTCAGCGACTCATTCTCGGATGACTTGCGCAGACTGTCATTCTGAGCCCGCAGTTGCTGCACTCTGCCCTGTAAGTGACGTAACAACCTTGCAGTGCTGGTATCCTCTCCAGGCCTCGGACTGGGTGTTGTCGAGCTGAGACTGGTACCTACACCGCTCTCTGTTGGAGATGAATGGCCGTTTACCATGGGGCTACCGACTGGGGTCTGTGTAAATAAGAGCCGGTATCATGGTTAATGTCTTACTTTTAAGGAAAACTAAGAAAATTTTGGTTTTTGTTTACTTACAGCAGCCTTAGCTTGCTTCAGTTCCTTTTCTAAACGATCGATGGTTTTCTGATAGGCCTAAAAATATAATATAAACATTAGTTATTACAAGCTAACTGCGAACAACCTCGTTGGATTCTCTCTTTCTCCCGAAAACGAGGTTGGAACGCAAAAATCTTTACGGGCTGAGACTCATTCACTGTCAGTAAATGACTTACCGTTCTCTCGGATTTGACCTGCAGCGCGTTTTTCTCATTTTCTTCTTGAAACTGCCTGTTAAAAAGCAAAGACATAGTGTTACAAACTTTCTAAACTCTGTTAATAAGGTATCTATGGAGGCTTGAAACTCGCCAACCAAATGAAAAAAGCATTTGGCGTTCGTCGCTATTTTCTTGGAAACCAACAGGCGAAGCCTTGAAACAAAACATTACTGACAGGATATAATCACCTAAAGCAATCAACGCGAACGTTTAAACGAAAATGTGGTGAACAAAATTGCTGAATACTTCACCTTTTTAATCACAAGAGTGTCTAGACTATATATTTGAATATGACTCTAATACGAGAGAGAATAAAAAAATAATCAAATGTGAAAACAAACGCACCCAGCAAACTGCACTCAAAGAGATTTTACTTGGATTGGTACACACTATTTATCCTAATACTCCGTACACAGACTCACAAGAGCTAGCTTTTTGAAGTTGATCTCAGAAACGAAAGGGTTTTAAAAGAGAAAACAATTCTTTCAGCTTACTTTTTCAGTCTGGCCAATTCCTCCTCCTAGTCAAGAGAGAGAAAAAAAGCAGTATTGACATAAGGAAGAACCTTCACTATATCACTGTTGTGTCATTTTACGTTAAATATGAGGACAAAAGTGGCTGAATATGCAAGCGTAATTCCGCAGATACGCATTAGCTGAATGTACTGGTACTACTGCAGTGCAATGTTCTTGAATTATTCCACACACATCACATCGGGGGTGTATTCCAAACGCCTTGAGATAATTAATTGGAATAACTGCTACATGAAACAAATCCTAAATACTGAGTGCAACAGTATATGAAACCAAACAACAATTGACTTAAATGCGTTAGAAACTTAATAAGGCGTGTGCATGTTACCTTAGCACCGAGAGCTTTCTTAAACAAATACACTTGCTGGGGAGTGAGATCTCCGCTGCTTTGCTGCTGTAGACCAGAAGAAAAATAACGGCAACAGTTAGACAGACATACCAGGTAGGTACTAAATGTACACTATAATAATCATATATGAAGTAACTACCTTGTCATCTTAATACCGCTGTCAGGCTGCACTGCAGATGATTATGTGCAGTGGCAAAAGAAGCATGAAAAAGAACGTTGGTCACAACAAAAAACCTGCAACTATTGTCTGGCTAGAAAATGATTTTCGGTCGACCTGAAACGGTCTTATAGACTGTCTAACCTCCTTTATGGATAACCAACTCCGCGAGCTACTCACGCAACTGAAGGACCAAAACTACTAAGAGCTGCTTTACCTCGAAACTACTTCACTCGCTCCACAACACGAACGAGGTTGCATTCTCGACAAGAAGTCTTATGGTGGCCTCTTCTTTCATGATTCCGAAAGCCCGAGCAGAACAGGCCACTCGAGGATTAACAAACAAGAGAAGATAAATACCTGCTTTTTGAGGGCCAGTTCTCTGTTGTTTTGTTCAAGCTCTTTTCGAGCTTCTATCAAATGCTGTCTTAGCTCTTCATTGTATGAACGGAGATTTAGCTGCAAGAGAGAAGAAACGATTAAAAACTGGGACCTTTTTTGGTCGACGACAATAAGGAAAAACCAAAAGAAAACCCTGCAGAATTCTTCGTACTTAAGCTTCTAACGGCTCTAAAACTGTTCCCCCCCCCCCCCCCCCTTCATCACCACCACCACTACCAACTATTCCAACTTCTAAAAAACGTCATTCATAATTACCAGAGCATCTTTAGCAGGACTGTCCGTGGTCGACCTGGGACTTTCACCAACATAGCTGCTTGATAAATTTCTGACCAAAACAAAACAACATAAAACATAACTTTGTGAGGGTTTTGTTTGACAAAGGATGAAGAGAACATCTCGCGGCAAATAATGTCTGACGTCTATTTACCTCACAGGGGTGTTGTTGGCAGAATCTCCAATCAGGGCGGCTGTTTTTCGACATTCTTCGTTAATCTCCTTTGCTGTTTCTTTCTCCGTTGTTTCTACTAATGCGCTCAACTAAAGAAAACAACAGCCGACGTAAAGTTACTCACTTAGAGATATCACAAATAAAACTATCGCATTAACCCCATCCAAGCCGACCACCTTTAATACGCCTTAAAATCTTCAAAAGTCGCGAATAGTTAACAGGAATAACAGTCGTCATCGTTGCTTAAGCTCTCTAACGGAAATAGGAGACGTCGGCATCAAGCAGGCTAAAAATGGTTAAGAATCCCAACTGGCAAGAGCGCGGCGTGAACCGAGGGCCTCCGGATTTCAAGTCCAGCGCTCTAACCGCTGGCACACGCTTCCTCAGCTCATTGAAAATACAAAGTTTGTTTCGTATGAATTACCTTTCGTCAAGGTAAAATTGAGAAAAATTCAATTACCTCCTGAATTTTGTCTCTCATTGTCACAATTTCCGTTTTAGCTTCGTTCCTGACGTGTGCAACAGCATCGACCTTCTCTTGTTCAGCTTGCAGGTTTAACTCGCGCAACTTTTCGATTTCCTGTTGGTCAACAATAAAAATAGAGTAAATAAAAAAAAATCCTTAAAATTTCCAGGATATTTGTGTTGTCAGAGCTATTCTACGAAAAAAAAACACACCGGCCTGTGGATCTCAGCTAGACCAGGCTGTTTTAAGCAAAGGAATACTATTTGCTTAGTGCTTGCTGTACTTCGTTAGTCACATGGCAACCCAGGGCACCCATTGCAATTCACTGTTTTCCTCTTGTACTACTTTACAGATGGGTGAAAGAACGACAACGTAAAACAAAGTCTAAAAACACAACAAAATACTCATACAACAGGAGATACAAAGCTTTAAACAATACACCTTTAGATATGAAGTCCACCGCACAAACCATTCCATTAACACGCCTCCAAAGGGATGTTGTGATTGGTGAAAACAGGGGCAAATGTTGGCCAATCAGAACAACAGGTTTACCAGAGAGTGGAAACCCAAATAATACCTTCTCCATGAATGCTCTCCACACGATTGTGTCAAGAGGCTCCTTGATTTTGCTTGCTCTGGCAGGTTCATAGTTTTCTTTGTTAAGGATTCAGAAGGCCACTTGTCTGAGCAATTACTCATCACACAAGTGCGCAAGAAAACTTGCTTTTTTCGACATACGACATGCTCAGCACTGGGGTGGGGGGTGGGGGGACCAAGTGTTTCTTTGTATCTGACGCGTTGCATTTTTTGGTTTAGAAGTTCAGTTGAGTTACACAACCGTTAGTTACACAAACACAAACCTAACAGAAGCTACTAAAAACTAACCTTTTTAATCTTACTGACAGAGACATTTAGGTGATTATGACCTTGTCTTTCGGCTTCTAACTCCTCTCGCACATGTTTTAAGGCAGACTCGTATTTGTCGCGTATCTCCTCTAGTTTTGTCTGGTGCCTTGTGCGTTCGCGGTCTGCTGTTTCGCGCTCTTTTTCCAGCGCATTGCGAATCTGACGAAGTAATATTCAACATTAAAAACTGTCAAAATTAAAAAAGGGCATTACTACCGTTGTGCCTGAAAGTCATGTCCGAAAAAATATGCTTTTGTCATCACTGATAATTACGTAATACATAATAGACCTTGTCACGGTTTTCGACGCCATCTTGACGAGTAGGCAAACGCGTGAGAAATTACATTGTGTTTGTATGAGAATCTAACGTCGAATAACTTCCGCAAAACGGCTCTTCTGAAAAAATATGATTTGTAAATTAAAGCTTCGCTCCTTTTTTTGCTCCCAAGGATTCTACTGAAAAAAATAAAGGGCGTTACATGCACTAGAAGACCTAGAACCACTTTTTTAAATTTTCTATACATTTGTCTGTAAGAAAGTCCCGGTAAAATTACAGACAATAATATGTAAAATCTAAGGCAAGCCTCTAGAGAAATTTAAGCACAGGTACGCCCCCAAAATTGTTTAGGACAATCCTTTGCGTTGTAGCTTTAGTTTACATTGATATTTTACCGTGACAAGGTCTATTTACGACTACGAGTATTCGTCTTTATTCCACAGGGATATAGTTGAGCAAGCGATTGAAATACCAGTCGTGTCGCTTAGTCGCGGTGGCGATTTTCACGAGCGTTCTCAGAAACTGAAAATAAGGTTCGCAGTCAGGTTAAATCAAGTAGTGTTGTAAATTTGTTTACAGCAATACAATTTCCTGATCCACGGCTCTCATAACAAGCGAACCGGTTCGCCTACTCTTACCTCACGTTTTCGACCACGTTAGGTTTAATTTGGTGGAATATTTGCTTGTTTCTAAGTACTATTGTTTGGAGTGACTGTAAACTAGATGAAGCTGTTGCACTTCAAACAAACAAAATTTTTAAATTTTTCACGATTAATACCCTGTCACTATAACGACAATAAGTTTTATTGTATTTAACCAGAAACCCATAATTTAACTCAGCTAAAGAAAAGAAACCTCAACAATCATGGTGACACACATTTTCCCGCGCTCAGCACTGCGTACAATTTTATCTACCAGCTGATTGATTCGTTGGATTACCAAGTCTGTTGTGATTGGTCAGTCAGCAAGGAAAAGCTGGAGATACCACGAAAATGACTCTACAAAGTACAACACAATAGGGCCATTTATACGAGGAAAACTAAGACGCGAACTTTCCGTATAAACGGCACATTTCGTGTAAAATAAGACGCGACTTAGCTAAGTCGCGTCTTATATTAGAACAGCCCTTACCACCTGTTCTTAGATAAGACGCGTCTCAGCTAAGACGAGAAAAACTTCGTATACATGACCTTCGCGTGTACAGTACTCGACTGTCACAGTACTCAGAATCTAGGAAAAATCTAACGTAATTACTTACATGTTCTTGTGCTTCATTTCTCATCTTCTCGCCTAGTAACCTCGTTGCGTCTTCTTGCTGTCGAACCAGACCTCGTAACATTGCGATCTCATCATCCTTATTCTGCGGGAAGCAAGACGCCTTGGGTTCAGCGTTTCTTTTTTCGGTTTTTACTGGTAGTTGGAGTTAAATGGTGAAGGTTCTATTACAATTTACGGTTTAACAGTCAAGCCAGTTATCTGTTCGCCCATCCTCATTCAAAAGGACACACTACACAAACGTGAACGAAACTTCTCGATTTACCTTGACTATTTGAGAGAGTTCTTCTGATCGCGAGGATGATTTTTCTTCTACCCTTCTAAGTTCCAGCATTTTTTGCTCAAGAAGCTGAAAATCGGAGGCATATCAATTATCATCCACACAACAATGAAAAAAAAAATTACAGAAATATATCGCCTCGCAATGCAGACGCATTTCTAGAACTGACTCACTAGCATCCGCCGATCGGGAAAGTTTTAGTGTTTGCTAACGGTTACGCTAACTCGCATAAAAGACATTACTATACCTCCTCCGTTTTCCGTTGTTTCTCGTACAGAGCTGCTTCTTTCTCGTTTAAGGAGTCAATCTACGAACAAAGTGATAAAAGAGACATTATTAACCAACACGACAGGGCAAAATTTAGTGTACGTTTCTTAGGTCATTTTCTTATTACACTAATGACATTTTCACAGGCGACTTATCCGCTATCAAAATAGAGGTGCAACGCTTAAAGATCTAAAGGAATAATTACCGTTCTTCGAGTTCACATTAATGCCATATGCGCCAAAGAAATACTTGGCCTGAATCCATTCATCATCAAAGGCCGGTCGACTGGTTTTGTAATAATAGTTTCAATTTCTTTCCATTCCTTAAGTTTGACTCTGACCGTTACACCACGTATTTTATTTGGAACGAGTAACTTCAGACGAAATTACTTTTTGAAAACAGTTAGCCTATCATAATTAATTAAAACGGGACGAAGTTGTACCTCGATTTTTAAAGATTTTGAATGAGTGTCTTGTTTTGCTAAGTTTTCTTTCCACTCGCTCTCGCATTCAAATAATTTTTGTTGTTCTTGAAACACTTGCGTCTTTAAGTTTGTTATTTGTTCCTCGTAGTCTTTAACGTCATTTTCTAGTTGATTTATCTTATGATCTCGACCCTGGAAAGCAGAAAAACAATTAAAATCAAATCAGAGATTAAAACTGCGGTTAGGGCTGGGGATGCTCCCCCCCCCCTCGCACTACACTGGTCTGTGATCTCTTAAACGCCGCAGCGTTAAATGGTGATGAGATTACTTTATTACTTAAGTCAAATCGGGATTAAATCCTTAAACAAACACTAACAACGCACCCGCAACAGCCACAAACACCGATATCAGCTGTGATATTTCCCTTAAGACACAAAATGAACAAAATTCAAATACGAAAAAGAAATGTACACATGCAAACCATATAGACTTATACAATTTTAGTTACTACTCATCAGTTATAAAATGTAGGTCACTTCTGGCTCCCACTACATTTATACTTCAGTCGAACCTCACTTGACTCAAATTTTACTCTTATCCAACTATTACGGCGAAAAAGGCCGTGAAGAAAAAACGGTCAGTGTATTACAGCTTTTCGGCACTATCTTCACAAGTTACTACCGATATCGGATTTTTACCTGTAGCTTTTTGTTGAGTTCTTCCCTGTCTCTTCGCGATTTCTCTCGCAATGACTCCAACTCCACTTCTTTTTCCTGTAAAAATGAATTACTACTCAGTACAGAAATTGATAAGCTCTAATTCGTTACGGACTTACCGCTCTGTGGGTCTTTGAGAAATTCTCTGGAACTACATCACATATAAAGTAACATCAGTGAAACAAACGTTACTATTGACTGAGCCGTTGCGCGTTTTGAAGGTAAAGGTGACCAAATCTAGAACGAAACATAAAGCCAATGGCTCCACTAATTACTAAAATTGCGTGTCTCTCAATGAACCTCGCGAATCTCGGGTGAATACGGCCAGCTAAGTTAACTATGAACTGCCAGTTTGTTTAAGGAACGCTGCTGGCATCGATGGCTTAAAACGTCAACGAAAAATCCATCTCTTCAAGTGCACCTTTAAAAGTTATTTTACGTAGTAATTCCATTTTATTATGTATTCAGTTGTTATGTTAAAATTTTAGCTGATGATATGTAATTACTTATTTTTATAGAATTGATTGCAAATAGATTTTGTTCATTTAGTACCATGATTTGTAAGAAGTTACGGGCAATAAGTGAAATAACACTATATAAATAAACTTATATTATTATTAAGTTAAGCCATGTTGGGAAAAACATAGCCTGAAATTCATCCGATTGCTTCGAGTCGTTTTCTCCTCTCAACAACTGAGGGAGTAATAACGACTCGAAGTAATCGGATGAAATTCAGGCTAGGAAAAACAAGGACTGTATACTACAAATGGTTTTTCTTTATTTTGCGCAAGAGGAAACGTAAGAGGTTTTCTCTCTGTTCCTCACCCTCATAAACCTGTTCCGCAGCACCTCAAGTTCTTTATGATGCATCTCCTTTGATTCGTCTTGCAGTTTGTGAATTGCGTTGATTCTTTCGTAGTGGGAATCGCGAGCTTTCTGCCGTTCATCTTCAAGTTGCTACAAAAACAAAAAGAGCATTGACAGTGAAAAAATGAACACATGAACTTCATATATTGGAACCGCAGAATGAAGAAATAAATGCAAAGAAGCAAAGAAATTTTTCCTCACTACGTCTTTTGGAATCGTATCGGGGAAACAAACGAGAATGTAAATTTTGATATTAGGGTTTAAGGGGTTAAAAACCTCACTGACCTGTTTAAGTTTCTCTACAGCCTCTTTGGACGCTTTTTGTTCCTCGTGTAACTGCTCGTGAAGAATTCCAACCTTGTGAAGATAATTCTGTTTCTCATTCGCAAAGTTTCCCTCGGCCTGTTTAAGTTGTGATTTCAATGACTCTACCTCACTTTGAAGCTGATCTTTTTCTATGCTCAGCTCCAGAACTTTGAGTTCATTTTTCTTTTCCACCTGGACAACTTGTTGTGATTCCTGTTTCTGTCTCCCGAGATAGCTTCGCAGTTCTTTAATTTCATGTTGAATATTATCTCTCTGAAGTTCCAGATCCATAAGCTGAGTTCTGAAGAAGAATACGGACATTTGATAAAGAGTTAGTCTACATCACGGTTTGTTCACATTTAACTCTTTCACTGCCAGAGTGCTTGATAGAGTTTTGTGAGGTGACTCTAACTTTCGAGTCTGCGGATGAAATCCTATGATGTGACCCTTCAAATCAAACCTCTCTGCCTATACCTACACATGGTATTATTTGTTTTTCAAAATTTCACAAACTGAAATTTGGAAATTTGGTTGAAATTTACTTTTGGCTAAATTTGGAAGTGAAAGGGTTAAAAAATTAGTCATACATTGGTTGTTGTAAAATATGTAATAGTTCAACATATAGCTAAAACCTCCCCTTGAGAGAATATGAGCTTACTGGTGATGAACATTACACAGGGTAACATTATCCATGTGTCTGTTAAAATGTTGTTTGTAATATGGCCGACTGAATTGACATTGGATGCTGCGAAAGTTTCTCAACCTATTAAAACTAGGTAACAAGGCGATTTGTGACATCTTACTTGAAATGGTCTTACTTAATTACAAACTTACTTACAGACCCCATGATACAGTGCATTACTGGCTATAAGCCAGTAAGTACAAAAACCTTTGGTACATTGTAAAAAACTATACTACTAAGATGTTTGAAAACAAACAAGGTCAAAATAGTACAATTTATCTTTGTCTACTTTTTTGTAATCGGGCCCCATCACACTTTTTTCTGTTGTATAGCAAATTTACCTTGTTTTAGTTGCCTGTTGTCTGTACTGTTCCACCAAGTTTTCAGATGAGTTGACCTCAGCCTTATTGCGTTTGATCGTGTCTTCCAGAACCTGAAGTTCCTGCAAAGCAATCTGGTGGAACGTTTCATTGAGAATGTATGCTTAACAATCCACCACAGAAAAAGAGGCAAAAAAGCAGTTTAATTGCACAATGTGTTTAACCATTCCTACTTTTTTCTGTGACGTTGCTTCTTCAAGCTCAAATTCCACTTTTTTAACTTCTTGCAAGCTTCTGTTGAGTTTCTTTTCACTTTCTTGTAACTGTGATTAACAGACATGGTTTAGTAGGTGATGTGGTGTATCTGACTGAAATTCAGATCACATCATGTCTAAAATTCTCACCTTGAGTAGAATTTTCTGATGAGCTTCCCTCTGGGCATCAAACGCATCAGCCTAGAAAAACACAACATAACAATGAAAAAAAAAATTCTGAAAGCGCAGGACATAGAGTATACAGAGATCGCTGGAGATCGCACAGAGATCTGCTAAATATGGTGCCTGGCTAGAGATTAACAAAAAAAACCCTGTCATGTTTTCAAAGTTAGACTATAAGTAGTCCCTAGTTTTTTCTCTGGGATATTAGAATGAGTGAAACACGCAAGCATGTGTGTTTTGTATGTTTTGCTAAATGCCCTACTATCCCAGAGGGAAATGGCAAAACTACTTGTACAGTAAAACCCCACTGTACAGACAAACTCTTGATATGCATGGACACCTCATTATTACAGACTGTTTGCTTTGTCCAGTGGAAAGAGAGCACTTTTATTTTCAACCCGCTTTATACGGACACCCCGTTAATACGGACACTTTCTATGGCCCCCATAGTATCCATACTAACATGGGGTTTAACTGTACTCTATTTCATAATAATTTTTAGTTCTTTCTAATTAATTGAACTACAGGGAGACACGAGGCTGGATACAAGCAACAGGCCTTGAACATACAAGCTACTGAATTTCAGTAAAGTACATGTATATTGCATCTACTATGCAACAACAACCCTCAACTCATGGCGATTTGTACATCTGCAAACAAGCCTCCACAAAAGACCACCTCTCCAAAACATCCCCATTTTTGTCCCCCTTTTTCGTTGGAAGAGGGCCTGTTGGTGGAGCCTTTTCACATGGCGTCACGTCTGCCATACTGGTGTCCTAAAGGCAACCATGCATGTTGTTTCGCAAACCAATCCTGTGGGAGTTAACCCTTTTCTCATGTAAAAACTTTCTTTTCTTCAAAGAAATGTTTTATAGCTGTTGGCTAAATGAGTGAAAGAGCTCCACAACAAAACTTCATAATCTTTATTATAGGTAGCTCCTACAAAGTGATAAATATGAATAACTTACAGAGGTTCTCTGTCTTATGGTGGTATTGAAGAGGGTTTTTGTACAAGCAGTTTCTTTGCAACACCACAGGTTAGTTTTATAACTCACCTGATAAGCTTTGGTGGGTGAGAAGAGAGCCTGGGATTTTATCTGGGGTGTTGATGTCATAAATCCTCCAGTTACTGGTGTATATTCATGGTATTCAAAACCTCTGGAACTTCCACTGTCAGAAAACTTCTCAGCATGAAATCGCCGATCACCTCTGTCTTTGTGTGGAGATGAAGAGTAACTAGTATCATGCCGATGAGCTGAGGAATGGAAATATCGTAAAAGGGGGTGCATGAAACAAGGCCCTAAGTGACTCTTGATCAAATATAAAATTCTCCCCTTGATTGAAAGAAAAGTGCAACACAAATAAGAAGGAGAATTCAGAATTCACCCTTTTATCAAAAGTCCATCAGGGCTTTACTATTTCATGAAGAATAGTCACTCTAAAGTCACTTTCTCAATTCACGTAAAGCAAAAAGTCAGCCATGATGTCAGCTCAATGTTTTTGCTTCTTGTTACACTTTCTCTGCTGAAGTAACTGCATGTGCTTTCACTGCCCTGCACATTTTGCACTGAGTCTAACCACCCACAAGACATTCAAGTGACAGTAACTCTGTGCAAACATGGAAATTAAAAAAAAATCAGCAACAGCTTAAGAGAGAATCCTTCTTACAAATTTTGGCAGCAGACTGTTGGCAGTCTTGACAGTAACTTGCTCATTATAAATATAAAGTTAAAGGTCATGGATGATTCCATGTTAAGTGTAACATCATTACAGCTGATCACATTTATGCAAATTAGACATGATTACTTCCTCGTGAATCTCCTGGCCACTTGTAAGAAAAAATTTGCTGGATGATACAGTTACTACATGACACAACCATTATATTCAACACAACAGTATAAATATCCTTCACAGACTACATATGTGCCACTCTCAAATTAAGATTATTCCTCTTTAAAATTAACTCAATCTCACCTTTCTATTCTATGTTTGATTATAATAACATTATTGTAACTGAACTTACTACTCATCTTTTATATTAGCAAGGGGCTGTAAGTATATACAATCTCAGTTATAAATTATCAACTTAAATGTGCTGGTTGATACTACTCTCACCTTGCTGTTTTGATGGCGACTGCAATTTAACACTAGGGCCAGTTCTACTGTCTAACTCATCCGCATAATGTGCTGGTGTTACAAGCCTAGTTTGTGCATAGACCATCTCGTCAACTCTATTTTCAGCCTGATAATAGACATGCTGTCCCTCAGAAACGTCTCTAGTGTCACTGTCATGGTCATCGTCATCATAGTTCATAGCCGCTCTAAAAGCAGAAGTCTCCAAGATAAACTCACCATCTGTAGCCTGCATCTGATGGTTTCGCTGTTGTGTTTCTCGCATGGGGGCTACATCGTCTCTAAATCTAACTTCTTTGCGAGAAGCTGAACCTTGCCTCCTGGCAGATGTTGATATGCTGGACTCAAAAGAGCTGCTTTTATCTGTCAGTGTTCCACTGTTTTGTTCAGAGGCTACTGATTGTACTTGAGGTGATGCAGACTTATGAAATGATCGCTGCATGACCTTTGTACTTGAATTATCTAAATTCTTCCTCTCTTCCACGTGTCCATCTGATCTAGAGGCTGACAGTCAAAGAAAAGAAACTAAACCACAACTGGGTCAACTACTGTGCTGATGAAATTTTTGTGGTGGTTCATCCTCTAGACTGACCATTTTTTGTGTTTTGCAGGAACTAAATTTTGCAATTATGTCAGTGTTTTTTCCTTGGCATTATTGGGAATTAATTTTTTTTGAGATTTTCAGGAAGTCACAATCAAACGGATTGATATCATAACATAATTTCTAACGTTTTAATTAAGCAGGCACTATTTCACTAAGTCAGTTTTGTGTACCCAGCTTTGTGAAAACAACATCATTACCTGCAGTGCAGTAAATTTTGCAGTAATATTTTTGGAAGTCTGTTTATTTGCAGATTGTGAAAAAAAAAGAAACTGCAAAAATAAGAGCTTACGTTAAAATTTAGTGCCACGTGGAAATATTTGCAGAGACATTGGCCTAAAAGCAGAGCTCTCTTTAACTACTACCTGTTTACTCTCACACACTAAAAAGCTAAAGAGGGAACTAAATACTCCAAACCTGAACTTGCAATCCCATGAAAATTGTCAACTGAAGGTCTAGTGATCTTTATACACTTGGCTCCAGTTATTCAAAAGGTGAATAGCTCTTTTCACTGGAAAAATCACTATCTAGTGGATAACGCAATAATTATTGGTCTTCGTCCTATTTATCCACTGGAAAGCAATTTATCCGGTGGATAGCGCTATCCAACTTTTGAACAACCAGGGCCTCAGAGCTAGTGATGCAGGTCAGCATCAGTGGACACCTCATTCTAACATTCTATTTCGGTTAGGTATATCTTATCACATCTGTTTGCATTTGGTGCAGATGGACAGATGAATGTATAGTCACATGACAGCCAAAATTTTGCAGATGGATCGATAGAAGATTATCTTACCAATGGTATTACCCATGTAATGGTGAGTTTGAGATTAGTGATAGTTGCCACCAGACAAGAAAAATGTCTGTTCTTACCTTCTTGGACACTTCCTGATCCTGAAGCAGAACTCCTAGATTGACCACTGAAAATTAGAGTCATTTGTCAGTAATATGAATTCAGAAAAGACTTGACTAAATAGGTGGATCGATAGATTGGATTGATAGGATAGTTAGGCAGATAGTTACTTGCGGGACAGGTCACTAAAGTGTTTTTTATAACAGGGAAAGATTGACAAGAATACCACAAGGTCCAGATTATCTTTTCTTGAATGGCCAGCAACTGGTTTTTTTAATTATTTCATTTTTCTGACTGCTACAAGTCCACAGGTAAAAGATCAATAGGGTTATGTTTTACAAATACAGTGGAGCCTCTGTTCATGGGACACACTCGGGACCAAGGCAATTGTCCCCAATAGAAGTGTCCCCTCAACAGAGGCTGGGGTTAAGTAATAATTAACCAACAAATAAAATATTCTTCTTTTATTTTGCCTCAAAATCTACTGCAGTCAACGTTTCAAGCAGCTAGATAATGCATAAAAAATCATGACTGACTTATCTCTGCAAAATTCTACATGTTGAAAGCCCACAGCTGCAGTACATTGATTTAAGTGGGATAGTTTATGTTGTGCTCGACAGAGGTAAAACATACAAAGGTTATGCTGACATTTTTCCCGGACCAAAATTTGAGGTGTCCCAAAGGAGAAGTTCCACTGTATGTGGTTTTCATTTCACTTTGCTGGCCTGAGTCTACTTGGTTATTCCCAAACTCATTTACCCTTAATACATGTCAAGCCTTGTTTTACTGGTGATGTATTAAACATATGCACAAGGGCAAGGGCAAAAATCCTTGTTTGACAATGAAAACGTAGATGCAAGCATACGCTTAAGCCCAAGAACAAGGATAAAATTTTGCTTGCATGTGTGTTTATGCTTTGCATTAAGTCAATGTCCTATTACACAACACTCTCGCTCTGCACTCTTTGAATATATTCTGTTATGCAAGAGTTGATTGCGCACCTTGCATTGAGAGGAAATAGAACATGGCAGTAGGATGTGTGTCTTACTCCTTTGCACTGATATGCCAATGAGTGGAGCGAGAATACTTTGCCACTACTTAAGGTCGCCCCTAGGGACCTTCATCCCCCAGCCTGGGTATTTCTAGTGTCCCCTGAGCATTAGCATGGGGTTCTAGCATTTGCGCTTTGTTTTCAAGCATTGCGAATAGTGCTTATTCTCACTAATGACAATGTGCTTGATTGGCTTGTGAAGATCAGGCTTTATGGTGTATCTTGGGTGGATGTACACTGTATCTTCCACTTATTTGCAGAATTCTTTGGGTATAAGCTGTCCTAGAGAAGCCACCAGGATGCCCCTTTTGTTGTGTACATTACTATCATTCCTTATTCTCTTACAATTCATTCAATACTTCAAATTATATTGTCCTGGGCTCAAACAATTTCTTACCTAGCTTGAAAAATCCGTAAAGGTTGCCTTTTCCCTCTAACACTATATATGTTAGTTGACATGTGGGTTAGCTCTCTTCTAGAATTGTTAAGGAGTTAGCAGAATCACATGAAAATGATTAGTAAGTTTGCAAGTTATTTCTAAGCAAATTATATGATTAAGCATTAAAAACAACAACTATATGACTTCAAGGTTTTTACAGTTTGCAAAAAAATGAGATTGTTTGTGTTGCATATGTATTTAACTTGTCATAAATAGAAGGAAGGTGAGACAATTTTTATTTTAAATCCAGATCTCATTTATGTCCATAAAATAAGTTCATTTTTTTGAGGAAAAAGTTATTTATTCAATCATGTAAAAAAAGGAATAGATCATGCAAAGCTTGGGCTGCCTGTGGTTGTCCAAATTGATGTCAATCAACAATGTTACAGCTTTTTTGCCAGAGCTAAATCATTCTTTTTACAATGTGTTCACGTTCGGACAGCCAGGTCGTAGAAATTAAATAAGGGTTAAGGCACAACCACAAAATTTCAGGAGAAATTATAATGCTAAGCTTTTTCCAATCAAGAGGGAAATTAGTCAAGTTAACAAGTAGCAATTAGTGTTTTAAGCATCATTATTGCCATGCAGCTATAGTTATTGTGACATCTGCCGTAAGCTGAAAAATATTGTTTCAATTTGGATTTGTATAGGGTAGGTTATAACCTCACCTTGAGGAACTGTAATAATTGTCCACTTGACCACCGAAAAGTTTTGATAGGAGTTCTGCACCTTCCCGCACCTTGTCATCAAAGTACTCTGCAAAGTAATAGATCAAGCAGTTTTCAATATTATTAAGTGTCATAAAATTCAGTTTAATGTGGATAAATGCAATTTACATTGGACCCCACTCAGTCCAATAACCATTCCTTCTTCCATTGGATACAATTCACGCTGGTCAATACTTACCATTTGTGTTGGTGTCGTAATTAACAGCCAAGTTGAGTTCTTTGAGCTTGTCTGTAATATCTTCATCATCTTCATCCTCACCTCTCATCAAATCTTCTGTTGCCTCAGACACTTGGCTTTCCAAATCATTAGACTCAACTTCCACATTATTGCCACCATTTAACGTGTCCAAGGATATCTGAGAATCAATTTCCCAATTATCTTGAACAACAGGTAAATTTTGTCGCACTGGTAATCTAGCAGGTTCTGTTGGTCTTATCTTTGTATTTTGTCTTTCCCTTGTAGGAGGAGTTAATCGTGATGGATGATCATAATGAAGTTCTGGTCTCAGTTTAGGACTTCCAGTGACCATGTGCTGGCTTTGAACATGAACAGACTTATGACTTTCGGGTGACTGGAAATTACCTTGAACGTGTGTGTGCTTAGCATAGCTGTCTGAATTAGATCTGCTACTTTTAGGAGCACCTTCAAGTTCTTGACTTTGCCACACTCCTTTTGATCTGTAACTGTTCTGTACCATTTCACTGTGCTCCCTTGCAACTTCATTACTTATGAAATCACGAGGACCTTTTGATTTCTTTCCTTTGACTTTGTTCATTTGTGGTTCCATAGAAGACAGATGCTTATCTATGCTACGACTAGGTGATCGGTGATACTCATCTTGTCCTCTAACAGTTTTGATTTTAACATCCTTTTTTGATGATGATATTACATTTTTTTGCTGTGGCTTTTTAGGTGAACGCTGAGGTGACATATGTTGAGATCTACCAAAGAAAGAATTTATTTTGCCATGTTCATGAACGGGAAGATCATCATCTTCAATTTCCCTAATGGAGACATTTTGGCCAAGAAGATATTCAGTATCATCACTGCATATAGAATCTGCTGAGTGTCGACTGGTATCTGCAACATCCATGTTGTTAATCACATTTAACCATCTGCAAGTTTGAATAAAAATATTAGGTCAAATAAATAGCCATAAATCTCTGTGTACAATACTTTGCTACAACAGTTTGTTAGGTGCAGGAACACCTTAGGCTAATGATCAGGACTGCATATAGCCTCAGTTTAACATGGTTTCAGTGTACTGGGACCACTGTAATTGGCTCACCGCTGTTGTGGCACCCCTAGCCATTGAGCATTCATTATTCACTGTTCAGTAATAGGCAAACCTAATAAAAGAAAATAAGTAACTAAAGTACATAGAAGTTTTTCTAATCCCCCATGGGCAGGATGTTAATCCACTTCAGAGTTGAATGCCATTAAATTCAATAAAGGGTGGGTGGGTAGTGGTCAGGCCAGTCCCTCCTCCCTTTTTCCCCTGCTTGTCAGTGTGAAGGGGTGCCTGGCCGCCCTGTGTGGGGGCTCAAGGCTGGGTTGCTGGGATTACATTGCTAAACATGGAAGCGGTACTCAGTCTATCCTAGGGGCTGGCTGGCTGGCTGGCTGGCCAGCCTCCAGTGGAAGCCCTTGCACTTCTCATAGGTACAATCTCCTCCACTTAGCAATGCAGAAGTTAAACCCCAAAGTATGTGTCAGTATCCCTTTCATTTTGGTGGAGAGGAACAGGGATTCATGTATAAGAAAACATTGCTTTGTCTAAATATAATGCCTGCAGGTTCAGGCTTAAACCTGCACCTACAGATCAATCAACCTCCTTGTAAACTACAAGACCAGCACACCATCACATACTAGATATAATAATAAATTATTTGACTTCAAGGGGGTATAGCAATATTTCAGTTTGCGTGAACGGCCTTTCTAATAATAGTAAATAGCAGACCTAGTCAACAAAGTCCTATAAAATCCATTAAATTAAAACTGCTACACGTACCTAGATATTTCACCAAAACTTGGTTTATCAGGGAACAAAAAAAGTTAGTTTTACAGCTTGCCATATTGGGCAAGCTGTAACTAGCATATACTAGCCCAAAAGTCATTTCAACTAGCCCAAAAGCATTATTCTTGATAAGCAGGATAGATAACACATTGTAGTTGTTCTGTAATTTGAATTCCTTAAAACAATTCATTTGGCTGTCGGGCAAGTTAAGAACAGAATTCACTAGCCTGATAGCAAAATCCACTAGCCTCAGGCTACTGGACACAACTTTCTTTGCACGCTGTTTATCCATAATAAAAGCTAATTGGTTTTTTAATCATAGAATGTTCAATTTCCATTTCTTTTGAGTATATCTGAAAGCAAAAGTGTACAAGTTTTGAAAGCAAGAAAGGTGTTTTGTACAGATCAACAACTGAACTAAATTTCAAGTGTCCTTTTCTATACTAACTGAATTTCAAAATTTGGAGGTATCATTGAAATTGATTACAGCCATTATTGAAAATCACAATGTGCAAGATTAAACATACACAATGCCCGTTATAGTCTGGAGCTTAAAATTATTGTTGTACTTCTAAACAAAGCATGATGTTTGCATATTGCGAATGGTTTTACAGCCTCGCTAACAGTATAATATAGTGTTTGCAAAGTCAAGAGACTTCTTAAAAACAACTAATTTAAAACACTTGTCGTAAAACTGATGTGGTCAAAATAATAATCAATAATATTCCAACCAAATTTTAATATGTTGGATTTTTTAGCAGTAAACAGTAGACAGACTGTTATAATTGTTATTCAGTTAATCAATTTTTGACGCTGACCTTTTCAAAAAACTCTTTAGACAAGTGTCCCTAAGGAGACCACAATGGACGCTGCTGAATTATTCACACTAGAGTAAATCAACACAATAAACAACAAGGATGTTTATCGGATATAACAAACCTATTTTAAAAAAAACATGGCTTCTTTCGTCATTTTTCTATTCAGACTAGTAATGAATCAAATTTCTTATCGAATCACGTTCACGGGACAGGAAGTATTTAAATTTATTCTTGCTTCCTGCATTTCGATATTTTCCACTCGTATAAATAAAGGCAGAAGTGACAGCCAAAGTATTTTGCAATGAGTTCTTGGTAAAGTTGAACACACAAGGAAGAAATCACGAGTATTTCAACTGCACGAAAACTGCCTAAATGTATGTTCTGAAAAGTATTTACTTTTTTGTTTGATTACTGTTAATTCGACAGTTAAGCTTATTATAAATCACATAACTATCTTATCCTTAGTTGCATCAAACCAGTGTTGATCGGTTGGAATTCGATAAGAAGCTGAAATTTGAGACCGCAGCAACATTAACTTTAGTTTTTCATGTCACATACTCACATCCATGACTTCACAGATCACAAGTAGAGTACAAACTTATCTAACCCACTTATTTAGTTTTACAATGAATTAACGTCTTGCCGCTAATTTAGTTGATGATCGAAATCACGGCACTGTGACATTAAAAGCAGCACTGCACTGAAAAACTCTCAACAACGCATTTAATTGACGTTCAAAAGTCACGAACAAGTAGACACAAATTCACTCACCAAACTTCCTTGGTCTACCATCAAGGTACGATGAAATAGTTTGCCCCTCTGTTGAAGAGTCAAGTGTTGTTGAGAGAAATCCGAAGATCGTGTAAACTATCTGTCCCGTTCGAAGACAAGCGCTTGAGTTGAGCGCGGGAGCAGATGTTGAAAATCGAACAAAGCAAACAATTCAGCAAAGCAACGGCATGTTAGCACAGCAGGTAGTCAAGATCAAACTTTTCGCGGGTGATAAAAAGAAACAAATGATTTCCTAGGAAGAAAATTTCTAACTTATTCAAAATAGGGCACAATGCCCGCCACGATCGAACGGATTCGTTGATCAAAGCTGTCAAGAGCAATCAGGTTTAAAACAGGACCAAGGCTAAGGCCCTGGGACGAGAGTAATTTTGTTCCGTATGGGACGGGAGGGAAGGGGAGGATTGTTAGCTTTGTAACCGAGCCTTTCTTGTATGCCATGTCACTAAACATCTCATGTTCCTTCTGTGTTCCGGTTTGTGCTGCACGCTAAGCTTGACTTTAGGTTGAATATCATCCATGACGACGACTATTATCATTTAGCAAAGGCACTTTTTGCATCTATCATCTTGTCCGTCTCGTTATGTCATATGACGCGGTACCCGATTCAGAGCCAGTGGGAGCAGCAGAAAACGTGACAGACAGCGAAAACGAGGACGCTGTCGCCACGCTGGTGGAGAAACCAAAATGTTGCTGTCCTTGTTGGAATCGCAGAGTTTTTTTAGGGGGAAACAGACGTGCTTATGTAACGGTGTTAGTCTTATTTCTCATAAACCTTCTGAATTATATGGACCGGCAAACGATACCAGGTAAGAATACCATTGCAATGTTGTATTCTCTGGACGGAAATTTAATGAATGGCCATTTTTCTCCCTTACCCCGCCCCCTTTAATTCTGATAATTTCTTCAAGGAGCCCCTACTGCCTCCCAAATGCACACCAGAAAGGGCTTGAGAAGAATTGTAAAAGAACCCTGCCACTTGTATGAATTCCTCTCAAATCTTTACAAAACAAAGCACTTGAAACAAATTAACAAACCAAAAACCAAAAGATTAAATTACCCACGAAAAAGAATCCATTCCTTTTCGATATTATTACATATCTATTGTCCATACCTCTGGCAATGTGTAGAAAACCATATGTTTGTATATGAAGTAATAATATGTTGGAGTTGAAATCAGTGTTTTCAGGTTAAGCCAGAATTTCCTTTGTCTCCCGTGAATAATATTATGGCGAGGAAGCAGAGGAAATTCTGAATCAAGCTTGGTTTATTACTACCCAAGATTGCATTTTTACTAAGAAAACATAAACAGCAGTTGTGTCTCAATTTGCTGATAAAAAGGATACAATTATTTCGAGAAAGGTTGTCAGAAAAAATGTGCACACAACAATCCCGAAAGGTAACATGGGATATGATCAATACACTGTTCCTGATGATTGCAGCTGTCGAATTTATTTGTGTTGCTTTCCTGTAGCACTCGCAAACATATGTTCATGGCCTCAAGTGCCATTCTTTCAAATTTCTTTGAACAAAAGTGAACTCAAAACCACCCACAATACCTTTTGGGATTGTCACATGCACTTTTTCTGACAACCTTTCTCGAAATAGCTGTATACTTGATTACATAAATGTCACTCTAGAATCCATCTTTGGAGACCCGGGGGGATCAGTTAGGTCAGGAATAAAAGCAGATCTTGAAAACTTTTGCAGCCGTTTTTCCTGACCCGACTGATCACGTCTGGGTCTCCAAGGATGTCTAGAATCATGATATGTGAATAAATGATGAGATGCAATTTATTAGAATTAATTTTGAATATTTGCTCTGTTTTTGCGTTAGGGCTTTTGGATGGAATTCAGAAATATTTTGGTATACAAAATAATGACTCAGTAGCAGGCTTGTTACAAACTGTGTTTATCTGTAGCTATATGCTTCTTGCTCCTGTATTTGGTTTTCTTGGGGATCGATACAAGAGAAAATATATAATGGCAGCAGGGATATTAGTTTGGTCTGGAACTGTTTTTGCTAGCACTCTGCTCAATAAAGATGTAAGTAATGAAAGATACAGTGTCACCATGATTTAGTACTTACATATGTAATTACTTAGGAAAAAAAAACTACCATAAGAACACTAACAGTGTCGTAGTCCTGTTAAATCATATTAATAGTGCTCATTGTAAAGACTATCATAATGTTATTATAAAGCTATTATAAAGTTGCCAACTCTATTATATATTAAATGTCTTGCAGAGGTTTACAAAGAATTTGGGCGAAGTTAAATTTAAGTTTGGTTTCTGAAGAGAGCCTGCCATTTCAAGTTTAACAAAAGAACTTCAACTTTATTATATAAACACTAATGAAATACCAGTTTAGCTTTCACACGAAAACATGAGATCTTCACTTGTGAACATACCATGTTATTTTTACTGGTGAAATGATGAATTTGCACTGTTCACAGCCAAGAAATGTTTAAGTGAAATATGGGGCTGTAGTTTGGTATTTCATTGCTGTTTACTTAAATAATAATAGAACATTACATGGCTGCTTCGAGATAAACAATTTTTCTTCTCATGTTGATTAATATTTTACTGATTGGCTGCATTTACTCATGAAATATTTTTCAGCACTTGAAGAGAAATTTTGTATCTCTGCACAGCCGTGTATTATCCTCTATTTTTTCTCTTTGACTGCAGTCTTTCTGGTGGTTCCTTGCCCTTCGTGGTGTTGTTGGAATAGGTGAGGCTAGTTACTCAACCATTGCTCCCACCGTCATAGGAGACCTTTTCACTGGAGACATGAGGACTAAGATGCTCTCAGTTTTCTATTTTGCCATTCCTGTTGGAAGGTATATAGTGTAATCACAAACTGGGGTGTTTAATGTTATGTAGTATCCAACAGAAATAGAGGAGAAGTATCTCAGAAAGATACTTTCAGCACGAAAAGATAATAAAAATTCGTATCCCCAAGCGGCCATGTAATGTTGTGTTTATTTTATAGATACTGATGAAATTCTTACATAAAACACAATTTTTTTAAAATTCATTTTCGAAACAGCAAAATAGTGCAATTACAGTGGTCACCTATCGCAAAGTGCCTGTCACAAAAAGGTTATGAAACTCGGATATAAAGTTATAAAGGAGAAATAAAGATGACAATACTTATATTTTCTGTTCCGAAAAGTCAAAATTAATGTTAGTAACCATGGCGACACCAATATCCTCACATGTGAAAGATAAAAAATTAATAGTATCTTCACTGCGTGCGATGAAGATATGACTTTTTAGTAAAAGGAAAAATCCTGTTATTTCATCAGTATCTATATAATAAAAAGGAATATGTCATTGAATAAACTGGGCTGGAAAAGGTGTGGGACGAGTGATTTTCTTTCTAGGTAAGCAACTTTTGAAGCTCACTGTCAATGATCCAGGGTTCAAGCAGATCATCCTCCAACTAAATCACAAAGCAAAATATGAGATCTGCTTGTGCAAAGACATGCTGAAATTCAAGTTTGATTGGAGCAATGAATAAAGCCTTGATGTAAACATTAGAAGAGTGATGTAGGAATTGGTATTGACTGATCACTTTTGCATGTACTAATTACGTAAAAATATGAAATATATTTTTTTACATGTTATTGTACAAGTCCAGCTGATGGCCTTTTTGATACAAAACATGTGGCTTACAGGCTTGGAAGCTTAAATTTATCTTAGACCATAAAAGCAATAGTAAATATTACACTGGTTTGAAAATGAGCCATTTGTCCGATGGTGTCGCGGTTAAATATGGAAGGAAAAACAAAATGAATTCTAGTCTTAGTCGTAAAAATGCGTCATCATGCAAAGAATAATTTGTGATACCTGAGTGATAATACACTTAAGTTGATTTTAAAGTATCATGTCAGTATAATTTATATAAATATTTTATAATAATCTTAAAGCTTTATTGGCTTGCTCATTCCTTGATGCAATCAATTTGAATAAATTTAAATAAGATTATGATAATTTTTTAATATTTTTGTCATATGTTTTGTCTTAGTGGCCTTGGTTACATAGTTGGTACAACAGTTGCCGGGGCTTTTGACAATAAGTGGCAGTGGGGACTTCGTGTAAGATACTTTTCTGTATTTATTTGTTTTTCAAAAGTCCCTTTTTGCTTCTTTGTTAACTAAAAAGAAAAAATTACAATTGATATGTACTTCTTCCAAAAAAATTACCCCTCAAATTTGACTCTTAACCTTCTAAACCTCCAAAATCCAAGTTCAAACTTTCTAAACTGATCTCCATATATTTCCTTAAAGAACATTATTTGAGAGGATTTGTTTCAAGGTTCAAATTATTTTCCGTTAGGTTATCATTTTATCATCCTCAGAGACCCAGGGACAGATAGTGGGGGCGAAAGAAAGTCGAAACACGGGGAAAAATATGGCACAAATGAAAAGTAAAGAACGGCGAGAAGAGCCCTTGGGGACAATGTCTTACCAGACCATTTCCAAACGGTCGCCGCCGTTCTGGCTTCTGATTGGTGCCAGAAAAACACAAGTTTTCTGGCACCAATCAGAAGCCAGAATGGCGGCGACCGTTTGGAACTGGTCTGGTAAGACATTGTCCCCAGGCGCTCTCCTTGCCGTTCTTTACTTTTCTTCGTTCCATATATATTTTCCCGCCCATTTAGACTTTCCTCACCCCCTTTATCTGCCCCTGGGTCTCCAAGGATGTCATTTTATCGATTCTTATATGGTCAAACCACAGACACCCGCTTATTATTGCAGACAGTTTGCTTTGTCCCTGCGGAAAGAAAGCACTTGAAAGCCCTTACATTTTCTCTAAATTTACCCCACATAACATGGACACCCCGTCAATACGAACACTTTCTACGACCCTCAGTGTCTGCATTAATGTGCTTTGGCCATCATTTTACTGTAACTTAATTTCTTGATTTTTTATTGACAATGGTAAGAGAAAATTGATGCTGGTTACCTTTGGAACGTAATGCGTTAAATGATCCCGATCTCAAAATGATCAAGGCCTTTTTTCTGTGCGCCCTAAAAATTATCCCCAAATATGTTTTGGAGTGGAATGGAATGGTATACCACAATAAAGGGGAATTACCCCAGCTAACCTTCCTTCTAATTCAGTTGTGCATCAGTGCACGTGTTTTTTAACATTCTTATAAAATCTTATCCTTTCTTTATTCACATTATATATTTGCTTTAGCTGTAGAACAGATTGTACAGCCTTCCAAAAACGGGTGTGAAATTAAAAAGTGCAATGTTTCTACCACTTTCGGTTATTTTGTTCATTATTCAAGCAGCTCAAAATCAAATACCCTCCATTGTCAATGTCTCATTTGAAGCTATCTCTTTTTTGTGCAGGCAACACCTATGCTTGGTGCTGTGTGTGTCTTCCTGTGTGTCTTCGTTGTTCATGAACCAAAAAGAGGAGCAATAGAGAAAGGGGAAAACCCAAATGCTGTTTCAGCTTCCAATGTACACAACACATCCTCCTGGCTCACTGACGTGAAGTATATTACCACAGTGTGAGTTTTAGTTTATTTTCATGATTCACAATGTGTACCACATTTATACATCTGTCTCTCCTCACTCCTCGACACTAGTCACTGGCAGCAAGCAGCAAGGCGAGACAGCTGTATTTGCAGGCTATGTATTTAAGAGCTTTTGACTTATTACGTCTGAAAAACCTGCATGTGATACTTTTTTCTCTTCATCTATTATCTTTGACTGTAGAAGATGAAAAATTGATATTGTCCAAGCAACAATAATGCTGGTCAAAAATAATACTTTTGAGCATCAAGTGCCAGAAATTTCAGAAAAAAATTGTGAGTTCTTAATGAGATTCAAACTCATGATCCTCCTTAGATTGGATGCTCTTTCACTGAGCTCCTGGAGACTCTATGGTGAGCAGGGCCAAAATTTAATTAATTACACACAAGGTAGAGAGGAATGTATCAGGGTCTTGCTCAAAATTAACTGTCAACCAATGCATAAGACCAAGGCTGTTCAATATTTTTTTTTAAGAGGGGGGAATCAAGCATCATAGTTAAAGTTCAGAAAAAAATTGTGAGCACCAGATAAGATTCAAGGTAAATCTAGTTTCAACATTAGGTGTCTCCCTGGCATTTTTTAAAAGCTGGGAACAGAATAAGATGACGTGCATGAAGAACTTTTTAACCTTTTTTTATATTAATTTTATATCTTTGTTTTATTCTTGCTTATGACATGATAGGAAGAGCTTCATTTGGTTGACCTTGGGGTTCACTTGTGTTGCATTTGTTACTGGTGCTTTGGCATTTTGGGCCCCTAAATTTCTACTCTATGCAAGCCATACACAGGGAATAGATGAGAGTGAAAGAATGTGAGCACAGATGAGTAATATTGAATAAGGGTGTACTGGTAATCCACATTGGTCAGTACTCCTTTTATAGAGGTTCTGATCTTTGTACAGTAATCAGAGTATTTGAAGGTGAAATAGAATGTAGGTAAAGTCTGTGCTCAGGTTAAATTAACTAGTATTTGTCCTTGTCGGGGTTCTATAAGTATGGGTAATAGCATGATGTGTAGTGATATTTGGCATAAATACCACACATGATATTTTGAAATTATTGTTGTATGTAATTTCACAAGCCATTAGGCGAGTGAAATGTGAGACAATTTTAAAATATCACGTGTGGTATTTATGCCAAATCAGGGGCGGATCCAGGATTTTTTTTAGGAGGGGGTGCACTCGTCTCTTGCTCTACTTCAACAACAATAAACCACATAGTTTTTTCTTTGCAGAATACCAGAATACCAGAAAACCGCCGGTCATCTCAGGGGGGGGTGCGCACCCCATGCACCCTGCCCCTAGATCTGCCCCTGCAAATATCACATACAAATCATGCTATTATTTGTTTATACTACTACCCATAGAAGGTTTGAATTTTCACATGTAGGTATTTCAAATTACGCTGAAATACCACTGCTCTAAGCCAATCAAATTGCAGAAATTTCTCATGTAGTAGTATAAACCTAGTAACCCTGAGGTTGAATTTTGATTTTACCATAGAATGGACTTCACCTAAAACAGATCCATGATTAGACTAAAGAGCAGTTAGTTGATCTTGTTGGCATGTGTGAAAATCACCACACACCAGGATATGTTCACAGCAGGGATGACATTTTTCATTTCTCTGCAATACAATATAAAGCAATCTAATCCAGTCCAATCCAATCTATCGTTGATAAAGTAGGTTAGTTGTTGATGGAGGTGGCCTCAAGGCTGATGTAGAGCTACTGTTTCTGTCTCCTGTAGTAAATTACCTATCCAAAGCCAGTTGTAATGATACATTTAACTCTAAAATCCTACGGTGATTAGAAAAGTTAAATTACATTATAGTTGTATAATCCACAGCAGTCTGCTGAGATAATGATATTTGTGTTCCTATAGTAAGATATATTTAACAGTTAAAAAAAATGTAGGACAAGAAAAGTAGGTCCCATTATTAAGTCGGGACTGTATAGTAACTTAATTCCACCATTATGAATCAAAATAAGCAAGTTAGCCATTGAAAACAAGAAACGATTAGTATTATTTGCAGGCACCCCTCCCCCAGTGCCTCTGCCCCCAAAAATATAGCATGATAGTATATCGTGACTAATTGACTTAACCGGAAATTCCAAAAATTAAAAGGTAAATGTCAGAGTATGTGTGCATTACGTCTAAATTTGGAGGGCTGGATGGCACATATTCACACAAGACTTCACCAAGTCACCCTCCAGGATGGAAATTCGCAATGTTAAAACTAAAAAAAAAAGAAGAAGAAGAGGCAGAGCTGAAAACTTAAGTTAATGTTAGCCCTATGGGCCAGCCCCGACTAATCAGTCTTCTTAGTGTTTCACATTGCTTCATTATTAAAAGAGAAACAATCGATTTCACACTGCTTCACTACCCAGAGAAGAAAATGAGGAATAATTTGACCAACAACATTGAATGATGGAGAAATGTCATTGTGTTACACATACATTTTGCCTTTCACAGTCAGGACCTTATTTTTACTGCTATGTGATATAAGATGTCAGGGGCACCCAACGAGAATATAGTTCAAAACCACTTAAACATAGCATTGTTAAACGTATTTTAGTATTTAAACGGTAGATATAGGCATATTTTTATCCCCTAAAAATTTTTCATCTGTTCGGATTTCCTAGCTGAAAGTCTAGTGATCCGAAAATTATAGGGATCAAAACTTACCTTTTCGAAAATTTCAGCAAGAAAAAAGGCTTCCGAAAATTCTAGGTGACCTTTTTAGGAGAAAAATCCGTTAAAAATAGGCAATTATACCATTTTTTAGATGGTCGAAAATCCTAGGAGAGGCAGGCAAGCAAGAAATTTTACAACAAATGTTTCGAAAATTCTAGATCTCAAATCGTCTTCCGAACAGATATTCTTCCGAAAATTGTCGTTGGGTGCCCCTGAGATGTGAACCATGCTTAACAGCCGAACGACTTGAGTCTTCAGTTAAATAACCCCCAGATGATGATAAGGTCATTGTTTCAGCAGCAAAGGAGTGACATTTTTCTTTTCAATTTCATTTTGAAGTGTCAACTTAAAGGTTGGCGGCATCACTTGTGCCGCTGGAATATTAGGTGTGTGGCTGGGTGCAGAAATAGCCCAGCGGTACAGAGTCCAAAACAGAAAAGCAGATGCTCTTGTATGTGCGGTTGGATTACTATCTTCAGCGCCTTTCCTCTATGTATGTCTTCTGTTAGCAGATAAGAACATCAGAGTTACATATGTGAGTAGTACTACGATTTTAAATGGGTGTTGTTCATGGTTACTTGTTAATTAAGTTGGCAAAATATTGTGCTTACCTTGTACTACTTTTGTTTTTTCAGGCTCTTATATTCTTTGGTGAGGTGCTACTCTTTATGAACTGGGCACCTGTTGGAGATATGGTTTTGGTAAGGCAAAAACATTTTTCTATCAGTAGTGTCATTGTCATTGAATATGATGGACCATGGCTATTTAGAGTTTTTAAACAAGTATTATTATTCATTCAAAATATTTCCTCAATTCTGATTGGCTAAAAGCACACGCATAATTCACCATAACCAGCTACTGATGACCAAATTTGGAGGAATTTTGCGATTAATGAACGGATGATGTCAAAAGTGCAGCTTCCTTGCAGGTTAATGCACTGTTAACTGAGAACACTTGGGGACGAGGTTGAGTTGTTTTGGTTGCAAAAACAAAAATGCCGGACATTTCACTCCTTTCAAGAGTAAGAGCTAGGCGAAATGATAGCTAAAAACATGGCAAGAACAGCAAAAGACAACTCGAAGGGCGACATCTGCTATTTGGAGAATATTTGCAGAGGTGAACAACCCTAAACGTGCTCTATCGAAAATGAACTTAACATCGATGGAGGTAAGCATGTTTAAGCTATGTTTTTAAACTCAGAATTGATTTGAATGATTAATAAAACAATTATTGAATTATATTATTGTGGAATTATATGAAGAATTATGGAGATCTCGGAGGGTGTTATCCTCCTTGGCCTACGGCCTCGACAGATAACACCCTCCTCAATCTTCATAATTCCTCATAACATACTCAGCCTCATTCATTAATTGTTAATTATTGATTTCAGTATATAATCATTCCTGCTCGTCGCTCAACTGCTTCAGCTGTTCAGATTCTTGTCTCACACTTGCTGGGTGATGCAGGTAGTCCATGGCTTGTTGGTCAGGTAAGATTCTTAAACTCAACAACAGATTTCATTACACTAGCTGAGCATAGTGAATGACTCAAACAGATAATGCATAACAAGGTTTAAAACCCTGACTTACGAGAGCGTATACTAGCTGACTTTTTATAAGCTTGGTTGGGAGGTCTTACTCGGGACAACCAAAAAAAACAACCCCAGCCAGAGTTGAGAGTTCTAAGCCTGATCAGTTTTTAAGTTTGTTGAGCTGACCACTCCGTCACACCACCACTACATTTTGCCGGGTAGGATGTGTCAAGTACAGTAAACGCCCACAAATAAGAACCTACTTTTTTTGAAGTTTGGCAAAGTAAGTTTGGGATTCTTATTGGCAATTTTGGCGAAGTGGATTCTTAATTTCTGTGAAGGAGATAACTGATTGTTGATTGCCCAAATAAGAAATAAACTTGGGTTTGGTCCTTAATTATACAGTATTTAATCACAACTGCATTATTAAAACCATAACAAAACTGATTACAGTATTTATGTACGGTTTGGTACAGTATGTTCTTGTTATGCTTAAATCCTTGGTTAAAGTTATTCGTCATAATTTAACTGCAACCCACATATAAGAACCTGCTTGATCTTGCTTGGCGCTAAACGGGTTCATGTATTTTTGTGTATTAAAGTGGCAAATTTCTGTCAGAAGGTTCTTAATCCATTAGGTTCTTATTCACAGGTGTTTTTTGTATCAGCCTTATACTACCTCTGTCTCTTGGTCTTCTCACTGCCAATAATGCCCAACGTAAAAAAACTCCTAATTTCGTGTTGTAGACTAATAAGAATAAAAAACTAGCACGTTAAATATTACTGCCGAATAAGTTTCATCTAGAATGTTCACGTCAGTGCATTAATTGGTCCACCGTCTTAAAGGTTTAAACTGCATACTGAATGAATCGTACAATGTTTAAGTACTGGTGAAGAGGTTTCTTTTGCACCGTAGGGTTTTATTCACAGAGCTTAGAGTTACAACATACAAAATAAACAGTACCGTGCGAAGGTACTGCTACCAACACTTACTGCTACCCTACGAGAAGTGGTTTCTCCAGGCTGGACGCTATACTATGTAGCCTAAGGCCAGGAGATACCACTGCTCGCAGGGTAAGGTACTGCTAAAGTGGAGACTGCAATTGAATGGTCTCACCGTGGCAAGGTAAGGCTCCCTTTCATAGCCTCACAATTTAAGGGTTAAACCATGATTCTATTCTTTTCTATACAGGTTTCTGATCTAATAAGGGGATCAAAGACCACCGATGCGGCTCGGGCAACAAGCATGGAGTATTCGCTTTTGATGACAACATTCATTTCTGTCTTGGGTGGATTTTGTTTCATAATGTGCTCATTCTATCTGGAAAAAGATCGAGAAAAAGCAGACGAATATAACAGGACTCATGATGATGAAAGCTCACTGTTAAGCTCTGTGGCCGCAGATAATTATCCTTCCAATTGTTGTGCAAACCAGACATTAGAAAATGATGACGATGATGATGATCACCTGATAGGAATAGAACCTGACACTCCTACTACTCCAACTCCGTCTGAAGGAGAAACACTTGTAGTTCCAGTCGATGTTCATACTTCGGTACCAGTCCAAGAAATACACGGCAACCACGTTATGTGAATACTGACCATTTTCATCAATTTGTAACATATAATTTCATTTTTATAATACTGAATCGTACTGCGAATGAAAAGAAAAAAATGATTTCGTTCTTTTATATTTCTTTAGTGATCTTTTGAAAGATTGCTTGGATGAACGTTTTTTATGAAAACACCTTGAATATTTCCTAATTTCAGTAACGTTTTATATTCGCATTTTAAAATAAGACAGACAGACAGTACAGGTATTTTTGATTGGATTGTGATCTGCACCTAAAGACGTGTCAAATTCAACTCTGAAGGGAGTTCATAATGATCAGGTATAAAACTCCGGCGCTATCGCTGGGATTGCGGCCGCTTTCTAATTAACACTGGCAGTCGCTTGACAGACAAACAAAATATCGTTTGATATGTATTCTCAGCAGTTCACATTATGTTATTTCCTAGTCAAAAGCCCTGTATTCGCTTTTAAAATTTTTTACGTCATCAGTCAGTTAGTGGTGCCCCCCTCCCAAGAAAAATTTCCGGCATAAATTACCATAGGTAATAGTGATATTTCGAAATTATTAAACGTAATTTGAGACAATTTTGAAATATCACTAGTCGTATTTATGCCAAATATAACGTACAAATCATGCTATTATTTGTTTATACTACTATTCGCACAAGGTTTGTAATTTTCACATGTAGGTATTTCAAATTAAGCTGAAATACCACTGCTCTAAGCCAATCAAATTTCAGACATTTCTCATGTAGTAGTATAAGTTTATAATCCATCAGCTCCTGAGAAACTGCAGACCCTAACTTTACTGCATTGAACATGTGCACCACTCCAAGAGTTTGTAGCAAGGAGCATTGCAAGTGCAAAAGTGTCTGCATTGGAAGCTTGTAACCCCAGTACACTCCATCTTCATTTTGGTTCAACCTGTTCTTTGAGCTGTTGAAAGTGATTCCAGACGTAGCCGACATTTAATCAATTAAAGTGCTAAAGAGCGAAATTTGAAGATATTTAGGGATAAATCAGAAAGGAGATATTTTTAAAGAGATGTTTAGAATGTTTTATCGGGTCAATGTTTTTCCAATAAAGCAGGGTACTCTGATAAAACGTTTTTTGCTTTCCAGTTTGGTATTGTTCAAAGAATCCTACTAAGAAAATTAAAGTCCACTCTTAATACGCACATTGTTAAAGTACAAAATGTAGGAGGGTGAAAAAATCAGCTGGTCGTCGCTTCCCCCTTCATTTGTGATACCCAGCCAGAGAAGTACAGAAGTTATCATTTCTTTTCTCTTGTTCCTTTTGCTCGTTTTTGAAAACGTGGAAACTGGTAGCAAAGGCGAACTGAGACAGAGAGAGGCAGACGCTTTGCGGAACCAGTCATTCTTGCTCAAAAGAGAGAAAAGCCGATAAAATCAGAAAAGAAAGGAAAAGATCAATGTTGTTTCAAATGATTTCAATAATCGTTTATTCAAATGTCTTGTATTGTTGTAAAGGTAAACCATTTTTTCGCCTTCAATCACTAGTTACTGTTAATATATGTTCATTGTATACGATTCAGTACAACGAAACTCTTCGATTATCTGTCCAGTCAACTAAACGATCCAGGTTAGAGAGGAAAGTCCATGTACATTTTTCTTCAAACAAGGGTAAATCAAAGTATCAGCTGTCGTATTTTCAGTATAAATCATGCATTTCCTTATGAATATAACTTCATCTTCTCCATTAACCTGTTATCACACGTCCAACTACGGGATAGGGGTAACGGGGGTGGAGTGTGCTGCTCGAGAACGACTACAAATTTTTCAGTCTGTTTTGCAAATATTAGCCAGACCTTGTGCCGTTTGGCTTTGCAGACACTCCGTCAAAGTATCAGCAACCTCATCGGTTTGCTCACGGCGTACTTGATTGCCAATATCTAAAGCGGTCTTTCGAGTGTACTCATCAAACAGGTTGATAACATCTTCCCTTACTTCTTCTAAGTCGACTATCTTGTGGCCGTATTCATTCACGATCCACTTGACGCCTTTCAGTTGATGTTTTTTGCCATTGCCAGTGAACTTATCGTGTTCGCCAGTGAATTCCAGCTCCCAAGTTTCCCCATCTTTCCTCTTCAAGATCATATCTGAGTCTTCTCCGTCGATTCCACAAGGATCCAGGAACAAATCATTCTTTATGACGAGATAATCAGTACCTCTTCCCAAGTTTATTGTTGTGGAGCGTGTCACCTGTCGCTGGGGACACTTCAATGTGCAAACATCGGCCTTCGAAAGACGTGGGTTGATACTTTGAACATCCTCACTGAAACTACTAAATAGACTTGCGCCGTCAAAAAATACCGAGTCTAGTTCTGAAACAAACCTGGTTTTCATCATGCAGCCACCGAATTTATTTTTGGTTTCCACCTGTCCAGGACATTTTGTGTGGAATGACACAGTAAAAAGTAGCCTTTTACCGTCTCTTCCTCCTATTGGATGACTGCCATCTTCAGGCTCCCCAGAACATCTTCTTGATGGAGTTGACACGTGTGAGTTATATACAGTGTCTTTTACATCCCGCCTCCACTCCTCTTCATCTTCACCATAAACCTTGATATGGGTGCCATTGTAAAGAACATCATTGGCGACAGCCGAGAATGTAAATCCCACTATGGTTAAGCGAGGGTGATGATTTTGGCATTTATCTTCTCCTTCCTGACCGTTGTCTGTAGTATCAATGATCTTAAAGTGTGGTTCAAATGGGTGCAGCGTCTTACGCCTATTAGACAAAGGTGCTACTTGGAATGTACTTATGTGGTACTGTGCTTTTCCTTTGAACTTAACAACGGTGAAATCCTCACCACTCTCCGCCTTTTTATGAGCAAACATACGGACCTCATCTAGATTAAATGGAGAAGCGCCCAAAACTGAAACTGGTTTGACAGTGCCCACGATAGTTTTTTGGAACCTGTTATGATTGATTTTGACTTCTCCGTTCTCTGCATCGTAAGTTATTCCTGTTATGTCAGGGTCGTTTTCAGACATCCCAAGAAATGATAACGTGTTAAATCCAGGCCCCAGGTCAGCATCCAGCTGATTTGTTCCTTGACCAACAAATCCATCGATGTTCAATACGTCATTCCCTAGTCCTGTTCGTATTGTAACTTTTGCCGACCTGTCAAGGTTTTTCATGTTTCCGAGGGCAACAACGTCATCATATGCCTCATAGTTGCCCTTCTTAGCCGTGTCGATTTCAATACCTCTAAGAGGGTCGTCCAAGTCCTCTTTTTTTAATTCAGAACTTTGAACCGCGTCGGTGTTAACGAGAATAATGGAGCCGTTGTACTCTTGATCTGGCTGCAAAAGTTGATGGTGTGTAAGGTCGCGAGCGTCGGTTGTGAAACCATAGAATCCGTAGCCAACATTATCGTCATCATCGCGTGCCTCGATGTTCTTCCCGTCAACGAGCAAAGGACAATGTCTGGGGTTGTACTTACCACCGGGACCCGTCAAACGACCATGTACACGCCAGTTATGACCAGATTCGCAAGTGCCGCTAAAGTTGATGATTTTTCTTGGATTCTCTGAGTCAGACTTCCCAAATTTAAGCTTATCGTTTTTGTCAATCCACAACGGTAACTGCCCTTGATTGATAACATAGAGGTCACCTCTTGTGATGTTATTGTAGGCCATGAACTTGTTTGCGCTATAAAGTTGTCGCCTCGAGTAACTTTCCAATACCTGGATCATCTGGATTGTCTTTTGGTACCGAAGTTCTTCTTCGTCGACTGGAGGCTTGTAAAACAGCTCAATTAACGTAGCGCATATTGCGAGTGTGAACGATACAAGGGCACCAACTGGACCAAGGACTGCCGACACTGATGATGAGACAACAAGGGTAGCGACGAAGACTCCCACGCCAACGACACCAGAAACAATTCCAAGGGAAGCGGAGGCGATCGCTCCTTTATTGCAGGTCCTTGGGTTATCGTTGCAGTCCCTGATAGCTGTTTGTAGGGCCCATGAATTGACTCCAATTCCGATGCAATCAAACAAGGGTCCCAGCACTTTGGCTGCGGTTTTGGCACGAAACCATCTTTTTGCTCGGTTGATGTACTTCATTGTCTTGCTATATTTTGGTAAATTATGTACCTTTCCCAAGTCCGTTTCGAAGGCGTTTAACACTTGGTTCTTTTTGTTGGTCAGAAGTCGTTTTACAGCACTCTCTGGCAACCTTTTGAAGTTCTGCTTGAAAGTCTCCTCCAGACCTTCTCTGTAGACTCCCCAGGCGTCTCTTGTCGCCTTGAACGCACTATCGGTCGTTATAGTATCAATAATATGTTGTGTTACCGGGACCAACGCTCCTCCTCCGATGTCGAGAACTGCTAAAGTTGTGACAGCCTGCGCCAAACTTTCTCTAACTGCGGCATCGTCCTCACCTCGTAACATCTGGGACGCTGCATTGACGTTCTTTGAGCGAGAGATCATGCCAAGACCAGAATTCAGATATCCAACTTTGTTGCTTGCCGAATTAAGGATACTAAGACCGCTAAGTGAAGTCGATGGAGAGCATTGTATGGACAGAAATAATATCACAAGGAGATTTTCCTTCATAATTTCAACCTGTAAGGTAAATATCAATGGTCCGTTATTATTAAAATGTAGGGAAAATGTCAAGGATATTTTTACTATCACTTTTACTTAAGTGGTTAAGACATTTTGTACTTTTTTGGCTAAGAGATATTTAAGCATAAAAAATTAAAAGCCTACAAAATACAAAATTGCTATTCGTAAACATTGTAAATATTGCAATTTCAAAGAAAGCCTGGACGTGAAATATGGCAACGTTTCCATCGATTCCCTCGACACTTGTAAATAATGTAGTTTTATATAAACCCTGGACGTGTAGCTCTTCCAATGATTCTAGCTTTGAAGACAGGCGGGGTCAATTGATTCAGTTATTTACTGGTGGTGGAGGGTTCGATTCTTAGTTTCTGAGTGGTGCCTCTTTCGGTTTTGAAAATGTGAAATAGGAGGCCTGTGACTTTCAGATGAAAAGAAAAGTAAATTCACCGCAGACTTCAGAGAATTGAAAAATCATTTTTAGTCAGCAAAACGTCCAAATTCTGATTGAATTTGAAAATGAGTTCGAGTCTTTGTTGCAGGTAATCGTTTTTTTTTTTCCTTGGTTTTTGTTACATTGATATTGCTATTGCGAGATGTTAGAATGTAATTGTTTTGGTAACCGCGTGTCGAAGGGATAGAGCATACAAATGATTTCAAAAATTTATTTTAAACTCATATTATTCCCCATATCTCAAGATGGTTAATTGGACTGAGAATTGCCCAAGGGGCATGATACAAAGGCAGAGACTTGAACACACTCGGAAAGGACATGACTGCTAAATTGACTAGAATGAGAAAACTGTAGGGATTAGGGAAGAAGCGTGGCTGAGAGACTAGAGCGCTTTTTTGTTCTCGCTAGTCCCAAGCTCAACTTCTTGGTCGCCCTCCAAATAACCACTGGTTCAGTTTGCCCACGGCGTGCTGGGATTCTTAACCTTGTAGGCATAATGAAAAATACTCGTTTACCAGTAATTGTGTTATCTCTATAACGTCAGAGGGATTTTTAAGTAAAAAAAAATAACAGCATCGGAAAATATTCTTTTTGAAAACAATCCTCGGCAAGGTATAACAAAAGTGTTACGAGACGTCTTACTTTTAATACGAACTGCAAGATGACTATTATCTTACCAGAATCTACTGTCGGACTGCCTTTCTTGTAAAACTCGATCACAGATTCAAGGAAAGATACAATTCTTGTTAACAAGGAATGAATTGTGAGATGTGCTCCCCAAGGCCAATGTGATATGGCTTGATATTCTCCTCTGAATTTTGTATTTAAGATCATTGAATATGATGTAATAAGCGAATGACATCATCGGATCCCAAAAATCAAAACTATCAACTGTCACTCGCTTGTCACGCACGTCTATTCTTGCAAGATTGTTACGGGGAATGAAATGGGTTTTAGTACAAACCTCCCCAAATCATCCTTGATTTTAAGTTTCACTGGACGGATAGAACTGCTTGGTATAAATCACAAAAAGAAAAAAGAGAAAGAAAATATCATGAATTAACGTAATTAATAATTACTTAAGAATGAGTCGAATATCAAAAGAAATCAAAGTTTCTTTTATAATGTAACAGGGAGATTTTTGGAAATTAACCAAGAGAATGTCCCTAAAAATACGTTTAAGTGTAAGGGAAAACACTTTTAAATTTGTTACCACAAAAAATAAAATAACCAAATACTACACCTGCCAAAGGGAGTTCCATGATATGCTTCTCCGAGCACGAAATTTAATGATTCAATCGCAAAGTGAAATAGTTGTTACAATGTATTTTGATTTTCTTGATTCGATTTGTCCTACTTTTCTTTTATCTATTTCTTTTGTCTCGAAAGACATAAAACTCCAAAATACTATAAAAAAGATAATTACGAAATAATTCACTTCAGTGACAAAAAGAAGTGAACATCGGCCAAACTACACCATAAGGTGACTGTGGATGTATCGTTTCATTTTGTTAGTTTATGAGAACAATAACATTTTGAGGCTACCCTGTTAGTTAAGATACTGTGACAACGTGATAGCCAAGGAGTTAGCAAAATAATGAAGAGGAATGTCGTCGACAAGGGCATGTTTTGAAGTTTGTGTCTAAAGCGTGCCGGTTTAGTTATGTTTATATAATATCGCAAAGTTCCATAAACATACAGAGTGTCCCTTGCGAAAATTTAGCGATAAAACGGAAGGGCGTAGCCTGTCCATAGACCTGTATTCCTGGGCCCACAAATTCTTGTTTTGATCACTCCACCGCTTGTTATAAATTATCCGTTGTTAGGGTGAGATATATATAGCTTAAGAGCTCGAAGTGTTGGTCAGTGCGTGCTAGTCATGCCTGTAATTTTCATGAAATGTGAAAATGAAAGTCAGGCAGGCCTAAAAACGAGTCTAAAAGTTGGGTACGCCCCTGAAAAGTTTGGTAAATTTGATAGTAACCAGAGTCGTTACTTTCGCATCTTTTGCCAGGGTGCTTTAGTAATTTTTGCCAACCGCATGTTCTTCTTTCCCACAAAAGGAAAAAGGAACTTTCATTGCAACATTATTTCATTCTTTAATTCCATTTTTTTTCTCGAAAATGTTAAATTGCAAGTAAATCGTTTCCTAAAATGTTATACGAATACCAGCCGAATACAATGGTTTACTTGTATGAGGGAAAGATCACATCACGACAAAAAAGGGGTAAATGAGTACAGTTTCTGATGAAAGACCAATATTTGGAAAGTTACAATAAGTTGTGAAATACTTAAACTTTCTTAGTCTTGTTAAATCGAACGAGAAATTTAACTGGCATTTGCGCGAGATATTGAAAAATAGTAAAATGTGTCAACGTGGACAGGACAACGAAACCATCACCAAATGTTCTTGTTTTGTTGCGGGTGTCATCCGCCATGAACGAAGGCAAAGAAAAATAGTTCAACTTAAAAAAGGTTAAACTAACCTTTTCACTACAGTGTCTCGGGCATAGTGCTAAAATAACGATTTTGTTTTTCGCCTTCTCTTAAGTTGATTCTTTTGAACACACTTATGACAATACGTTTTCGACAGCTATGCATCAAAAGTACATGCAAAAGCGCATCTGGCTAGTCAAGTCTTACTTTTATACAACAATTCTTTACTTCTGTATTTATACTTTCGTTCTAAGAACAATTAAAAAATGAGGTTTAGTTTCGTACAAAAAAACTGTTTTAGAGTAGTTATCTTTGAATTTTCAACCGCCATTTGCCTGTCTGAACACGGTCAGTTTTAAAGATTGTCAAATACACGCGGAAACATGCGAAACATAAAATCCGCGGGAAATTTGGTGGCCATCGGGTGGCACGCGTGTCTATCGCGTTGTTCCACTATAATGTACGCCACTAGAATTATCCATTAAAAGGTATAAAAAGCCGGATATTTATAACAGGAAAAACAGGCGCGTTAATATGATAAGAATACAAGCAGTCGAGGAGAGACGTCTTAGCATCTTTAAATATGGTGTGACTAGGTAAGGACGCACCACATATGCTCGTACAAATGAGATAGTTCGTGTTTCATTCATGACGCGTCTTAACACATCACTTTTCTTACTTTTCCGAGTTTTTCCCTAATATCTACAAACCACGAAAAACTCTTCAGCAAGTATTAGTTGTCTCCCGCCATCTACCCGGAGATCATTGGTTTCTCCAGGCCGGCCGGACGCTATTTCCGGCCTGGAGAAACAACTGCTCGCAGGGTAACCGTCATAATAATTGCGGTTCTGTATCTCTACTCGAGTATAAAAGAGGTTTTCAAAACAAAACAGAGATAAGGTCAACCAGAGATAAATAACCTGTCCACAGAAGATTTTCATTCTTTTGACGAACTTTGCGAGTGCAAGGAGGCGTGGTAAGGGCGAAATGAGAATGCCAGACGTTTAAGGGAAGCAGTAAGTCTTGGTATTGGAGCTTAAAGTTAGGTGGTGGTTATCCACTCTCAAAAATTATGTTTTGGGGGCCAATTTTGGTCCAAAGGGTAGGGGCGTCGTAATTCATCATTGGACGCGTCAGGAGTTGTCGACAATTAATTTGGCTGGTTTTAGGATATTTAGTCCTGTCCTTTAAAGACTCGAAACATGATTTGGCTAACTTTATCGGAGAACACAAACTGTTTGCAGGTTTTGCCCCCAACAAAAAGAAAAATATATATTTTTGTTATCGTTCACAAGTTTTTCCATTTTTCGGGAGCTCTCATTCTTTGGGTAAAGGAAAATGTAACGCATGAAAACTTCCCATAAAATAACAAACTCAAACATCAATCTCGCTGATTTAATTTATTTGAATAACCATACCATTGTCGTGTATTACATCAAAAGGTTCCACCCAACGAATGTGAAATGTTCATGTTGACTGACCTAACTGGGCTGCACTCGAATTTGTATGTTCTTTCTCCATATTATCATGGGTGCCCTACATGTACAAGACAAATAACTAGAGGCTAATTGAGGAGGCAAACCATTGTTTTGATTTCAGTCATATGCTATCGTTATTATATTTTCACTTTATATGTTCGCAGTATCAGTAAAGTAAACTAGAGGAACTCGTGTTAAAGAAGAGCGTCCTTTTGCAATTTTTCTTCAAACAAGGTTAATCAAATCGTCTAATTATTATCTCCCCAAATGTATTTCCTTATGAGACCTTCATTAACCAGCGATCAGGCGTCCAACTAGGGGAGCAAAAGGAGGTGGAGTGTAATCGTATGACTTCTTGATCCAATGTTTTTCTCGTAACTTGTCAATCTTTTTTGCAAATATTGGCTAAACCTTGTGCCGTTTGGTTTTGCAGACACTCCGTCAAGGTATCAGCAACTTCATCAGTTTGCTCACGGCGTACTTGATTGCCAATATCCATTGCAGTCTTCCGAGTGTACTCATCAAACAGGTTGATCACATCCTCCCTCACTTCTTCTAAGTCGACTATCTTGTGGCCGTATTCATTCACGATCCACTTGACGCCTTTTAGGAGATGTTTTTTG